ACCTAAGGAGACCCCAACTAAGGCCTGTTTTTCCCAACCTACACAGAAGCACAGACTGGTTCAGAAATACAAAAATGTATCACTGAAGCATTGATGTCCCTGTTCTTACATTTGGGACAGCCCCAGATCAACCCTGCCTGTCCCTCATTGCCAACTGGGAAATCCCAGCTAAAAAGAAGCAGAAGCAGAGACCCAGTTGGGCTAAAATCATTGCGCCGTCACCTGAAACTCAGCATGTCTGCCCTCCACCCATCCTCACACTCTTTAGGATCTGCTTCCTCACCACCCACAGCCCACCCTCTGTAGGAGTGCTACAGCAACTCCTGCCCAGAAATATGTTCTGGCGCTCTCTGATCCTCTGGACACTGGCACCTGGCTGTGACCCTCCCTAGCCAAGGCTATAGTTAGCAGCTATTAAAGGCCATTAACAAACTGGGAGTTAATGACTAGGTAGGAACAACTTGGCCGCAGCACCAGGGTGTTGGCTTCTCTACCTGCCTGTTTACAACTTTGCCAACTGCTGGAATACCAGTACTAAACAGGGACCAGATGGAACAGATGGCACCTGAGAGGTTCAGGGAGGGATACTTGAGCAGGTTCTATAAAGTGGACAGAGTCAAGGCTGCCTTCATTTCTCTTTTTGGTTTTAAGTTTACTAATTTCCCAAATACAGTGAAACAAACATACAAAAGAAAATCACCTCAGGTTGAAATCTTGTTGCTGGTGGATAGTTTGTTCAACATATTTTCCCCTCTTTACTTTAAAGGTAAAACTATGGGTGGAAATTTTCTTTATGATTCTCGATAATAATAAACTATATTTAGTCTCTTTTCCATAATCTGGGAAAGGGCGTTGATAGAAGTTGCTGCATATATTCATGATTAGTACATGAAATAAAATCAAATTTCATTTTTCTAAAGCCTGATTAGTAAGCACAAGAAAGATAACTGATTGTGTGTGTGGGGGGGGGGGATATCTGTCCACTAGGAGTGACCACTCAACTCAACTTTCTAGGGTGGCACTGAGGAATGAAGAATTATGTTTTTCAAAAGACTCACAAGCCCTCAAGTTATGTATCAGTTCAGTATGTTGCACAGCAGCTGCACCAATCCTCAAAGTTTTGGCCTATTGTCAAAATAGGTATTTCCATTCTTCCTGGTCCCCCAAATTCCCTCATTGCTCTTCATGGGATTAATCATTTCCTGCTCCTGGGTGTTGTTTCATATTGTTTCACGGGCTAGTATACCTTGCTCTAGAAGCAACTGCATATGAGTGCTGAGTGAAGTATGTTGTGTAACTGAACTCGTCCAGCACCCTGTTTCTGGTGTACTCACAATCCCACTCCATCCCCAGGATTACATTTGTTTTGAAACAGGGAAAGTCAGGAGTAGCTAAATATTGACAGCTAAGGACACTTTTCCTGACCTCTGTCTCCCATTCCTAAATATTCTTCCTTCTTTTGCCCCCTCCTGTTTGCTTTTCTGTGAAATCATCTGTTTTTAACTGTGGGCGGCTTCTCCAACTAGGACGTGCTTACAGGAGAACAGCTGCCAAGGAACCACACGCCAGAGACAGGGTGTGTGTATGTGCACAGAGAGGGTGGATACTTGTGGCATGGGGCTTGCGATAGGATGAATTGTCTAAGTGCACAGAGGGTAGGTGGGAGTGCGTAGGAATGTATTAAAGGTTGTGGGGTTGGGGTCAATAGATTGCATCCAGTATTTAATACTGTGTTTAGTGCGTAGTGTGTATTTGACCAAAAGGAGTGTTGATTGTATGTTTTGCTATTATTATGTAAATGTGTGGAGAGTGCAAGTACACCTCGAGCAATTGGTTTAGAATGCAGGGGATATTTTCCTGATTTCCTGAACAGCATATGGAAAAGTAGATCTGAGTTTATACAGCATGCAATGAAACATTTGCATATAGAAAGCTGTTATAAAACATGTGTGTTTAATTATTCTAAGATGAAGGGTCTGATCAAAATTTGGGGCACAAGCAAGCATGTATAAAGGGTGTGTGAGAGTGTCTGAGAAGAAGCAGTAATGACATGATTTCATGCCAACTTGTAAATGTACATATTCACCTGATTGCTTCTAGCAAGTACTTCCAGATAACCAATGAGGGATGTTTACAGAAGTTGGTACTTTTATCCACAAATCAGTAATTCAAAACACTAATGTTAATATTAAATGTGGAGAGGTGGGCTAGTAAAAAAATGTTATGGGGTAATAATTCTTGTAGTCTTATTTACAAGACAGAACACAGCATGCTGTGCAGTTTCACCTCCCCTGCCTACTAGGAAAATTCTGCCAGAAAGTCCCATTCTAGACACTCCATTTGTGGATCTGAGCAAGTTTCCCTGTCAACATAAAGCCTTAAAGGGAGCCAAAACTTGCCTGAGCAGTTAGAACAGAGTGGTTAGGCAAGGGCTAATGGGGGGAGGGTGGATGTCTGAGTGTAGAATTGCCAGGTATAAAAAATAGCCCAAAGAATTATGCCATATAAAAAAACAAATAGGGTCTAACCATTAAAAAAAAAGCTAGTCAGGTGCCAAACCTGTTGGGATTGAAGGCTACTAGCAAAGCTGATGAAAGAGCAAAGACTGAAAGGCTGAGGATTGCTATGAGATTTGTTCTTATGTGCCATCAAGTCATCTCCAATTTATGGTAACTCTACGAATGAAGCCCTCCAAAATGCCCTGTTATTTACAGCACTGCTCAGTTCTTGTGAACTCAAGGCTCCGGCTTCTTTTATGGAATGCAGCCATCTCATATTTGGACTACAGGAATATGTACCATATAATTTCTGAGTCTTTTTCTAGAGATATTAGTGCCTCTCTCTCTCTCTCACACACACACACATACAAGTTCAGTAATCTATACAATAAATCCTCATCCTCAATAACACCATTATGCTGCAGAAGGGAGGCTGAGAGAATAATAGCTTCTCTAAGTAAGTTAGTAGTCAAGGTCAGATCTGAATCAGAGATTCACTAATCACTTCTGTAGCCACCCCACACCAGTTTTCAGAGAAGAGGTGGGATAGTGGGATTGCTGTTCCCGGTAAGAAGTGAAGGCTATCCCAAACAAGGAGAAACATGAGAAGAACAAACCCAATCCATTTTCCTTTGATACTGCCTTGGAACAAACTTGGCAAAGAAGTGACCTTCTGTTAGCACTATGTGGGTTAATACCAGACTGTCCCAGGAAGGGAAGCTGAGAGCAGACACTGTCTGAGTTGCTCCTGAGTCACATAGGCCGATAACACGTTTCCACCTAAGGCAGCCAAAATAACCCGGCCAGGAACGTCCCCACATGGAGTTTGTTTTCCATCTCAGTGGTTGCATGGCACGGGATGTGAGAGAATAAAACACAAGGTTCTCTTGTTGAGGCATACATTTGCCAAATACTGCAAAACAACTAGTGTGGCACAATAAACAGTGTGTTGGCCTTGGATGTGAGAAACACCAGTTCAAATAATTGCTTAGCTATGGAACATACTGGGTGGTCTTAGGCAAGCCCCTATCTCTAACTGTCCTACCTCACAAGGTTGTTTTGAGACTGAAACATCACTCTGTATTCACTGGAGAAGTGTGATATACACATGTAACAAGTAACTGTATTCCACATCCAAGACCTTATGATTCCCTTGTATGAGAACATAACTTTTAAAAATGCTCTCAACCTAACACTGACCCAAAAGTTTTGAAGTCTGGTAGCTGGCAAGTCCGCTGTTACTTGGATAAAAGCACATTATGGTTATATTGAATCATGCAGCCCAGCACTATGCAGAACCAAGTCCACTTACATTCAATGGGATCTGCTTTTAAGTAAGTAGGCATACAATTGCAGCCTTCAATGTCCAGTATCCCACCACTGCGGATTGGGACTGAAGGAAGCTTTGAAAGCAAAACTACACAGCTGGGCATGCCTTTTGAAGCTGCATATAAAGGCTGTGAAGCCAAATTATTGGGTCCGGCAGGGGCTAAGAAACAAAGTGAGGAGGACAGTGAATAAGGCTGTACAAGACTGCTGATCATGATGGCTACATAGTACCTCCAGTATCCGAAGCCATATGCTTTTGGATACCAGCTAATGGGGAACAGAAGCAGAAAGATCCTTTGGGCTTCCCACATGAACGATGAACTAGGTGGGCCTTTGATCAGATCCAGCATAGTTCTTCTGTTCTTAGAGGGTGATGAGTGAGCATTTTGGTTCTTTGCCTCCTAGAATGTAATCAGCTCAACAGCTGGGATACGAAATAAGCAACATGCTTCTCCCTTCTTATGACCGTATAAACGGCGTGGCCGTAGGCGTGGAGGCCATTCCTTGGAATCACAGACATAAGTAAGCGTGGGTAACAGCGGCATCGCCCATGTCAGGCAAGGCCAACGCTTACTCCTATACTTGTAACCTCAAATTAAAGCACGTTGCTGTCCCCTGGCGGGGGGGTCGCGTCTTCACACCACTGGCTTCACCACACCGCCCTCATTAGAGGCATTTCATTTGTTCCCACTCCGATTTAAGTGTTTGCCCCAACGAGAATTAGTATTGTTAAACGTATATAATCGTTTGGTCATCCCTTTCGACTTGATGTGGCAGGTAGCCCAAGAAACGGGAGACTACTACTCGTTCGTTTTCCGTGTCACGGCTAGAATGCGTACCTCTGAGCATGTGCAAAGTGCGTATGTACTAAATGAATCCTTCCCCCGCCATCCGGTCTCCAAAACAAGAACCAGGACAGCTGACAGAGCTTCTAAGCGACCTTCAGCACCCGCCCCTCGCTTTGCAGAAATTAACCAGTGCAGCACCAGACCCTCCCCACGAGGGGCGAACCGTCGCCATATACAGTAATAAAAGCTTGCCTGGCGCGGTTCCGTCCTAGAGCGTCTCCGGCGGTGTGGGCGGGGCTTTCCTATCTCTTCTCCTCAAGTCACAAATGGCGGAGAAGGAGGAGTTGACGTAACGCAAGGTGTGCGAATGCCGCTCTAGGCCGGTAGGGGGCGTGGCACTCGGAGTGCCGCTGCAGCTCTCGTGGTGGAGGAGCCATGAGCGAGACGGGCCCGCGCGAGCGCTGCGGGGCGCTTCTCACTTGGGTAAGCCGCAGACGGGGCGCGGGAGGCGGGTCTGACAACCGGTGGCACCTTGGTGGGGGAGCCCCAGCGGGCGCTGCACCAGCCGCCCGCACCCCTGTTGCCGCCTTTCCCCGTTAACCCGAAGCCTTCGTAGGAAGCCGCTGCCTTCCCAAGTCCTCCTTCAACAGGTGCCTCCTATGTGGGTTCCGAGCCCAGAAATGTTGCACAAGACCCACACCCTTTTAATTTGGGATTCGTGTACTGCCACTTTTATTTTTACTCCTACTACATCTTCGCAGACGTGGTTTATACCTCCCGCTCTTCTCATAAACATATATCGTAACAGGAGCGAGTGGGACACTTCTACCCAGCATACGCCTTCTGTAACCACCTGATTTGTGATCGTGCGCACAGAATTGGTGATTAGACTCTGCGAAGGCATAATTAATTTAACCTCCATTCTCTCAGCGCCTGGAATCCCTTTTTCGCTTAAGAAAGAAGGAAAGAAAGAAAGAGCGAGCAATGGCAGTCTTCTTGAGCATAAATACTATTCCAAATTCTGTATTACCGTAATGCTTTTCGTTCTGGCTGCTGTAACCTTGCGCTACCGTTAAATCCTCCTGACGTTACAAGTTTGCAAGAAAGCTTTGGGCTATTTTTGTAGGTTCGGCTTAGCACATCATGACTCTGCATTTACCAGGACCACTTTTCCTGTTTCTGCGAATGATCTTGTCTCTCCCACATCCCTACCCCTCCCATACACAGAGACTTGCAAAACTTAAACCTTGATCTTTCTTTCCCTGTTGGCAGCTATGATGTAGGTCATATTCCTTATGATGCTTATTTTTTCCACACACACAAGAAATGTTCTCCCAGATGCCTTGCTTTGTCCACACAGCAATGCTGATGGTCCATTGAAGAGCACCTTATGGAATAATCCATACTTGGCCATGCCACTTATACAATCCCTCCCTAGCACAATAGGGAGGGATTGAGTTCAGCAATTTAAAATATTTAAGGCATATGAAGTAATACTTCATCAGAAAAGAGAGCTGTTTTTAATTAACTTAGAGTTTCAAGCTCAACACCACCATTATCCATTTTGTTTTTGTGACTAGCCAAATTGGTTGGGCTAAAATATCCCAGAGGAAAGGATTCAATTATTAGAGGTATGTTTCCCAAGGACTGGGGCCTGGTACCAGTTTTGGACAAATTCATATCTGGCCTGAAACAAGCACAAAAGCACTTTTTCCATTTCTTTGCCTTTTCTTTAATTTTTCAGAAGTGATGCTGTGGATTTCAGTAAGGGATAAACAAAAGGTGGATATTTTGATTTAACATAACATTCTGGCTTTTATCTGCAAATGTTAAGTACCTAGTGGTGGGTACTTCTTTCCAGCTATCAACCTCAGTGATAAAGGACTGTTTGATCTTCACTCTTTCAACAAACCTCCTCATGACCATTTATACCTGCTAATGCAGGTTTCCCAGTCTCTGTTTCTGTTTAAATACAAAATGAAGCAATTGGTTATTGTTGTGCCAAATGTCATGGCCTTGGTAATCTGTTGCCGAATATCTCCTATGCAAAAATGAACTGACCACAATCTTGTTGATGCCTACTCAGAAAGTAAGTTCATTGACTTCCTCCCATTGAACTCAATCCAGGTACATATAGGATTGCAGGCAAAACCATTCTTTGAAACTGACCTGTATTAGGACCATTTGGTTGCTCTTGAGAGTCACTTTATTTAAAGTATTATTTATCCATTAACTTACGTTTTGATGAGAATGGCCAAAGGAAGTTTTTTCTAATGAATGTATATTCTTCTATGCCATAGACATGATAGAGAATCTTCTGCATTCTGATAATGAGGCATAAGTGGGATTTACCCATTTGTTCCATATAGCAGAACAGAAAATTCAATAGCATGCCAAAGGAAGAATGTTTCTATAGTGCTGGGGTTTTTTACACCAGTGAAGCCAATAGAGAGATACTTTAAAGCTTTAAATAAAAGCTTTGTGATCTGCATAATCACATTTTGACTGTATTGTTTACATATATTAAATAATTTTTTTGCTGGAAAACTGTCAGGTTGAACAACTGCCATGCTTGGCATTTTAAGAACGACTGCCCAGCATGGTTGTCTTCTTTTCACCACTTCCTTTCACCACTAATAGACAGTGGTAAGTGATGCTTGTTCCTCTGTTGCTAATACTCTTCTTTCTCCTTAACTCACTGTGAGTTGTTGGCTGAAGATGCCAACTGTTGCAATGCTTAGCTCAGTGCCAAAAATACTAGAATCATTGTTCCTAGATTCACTATGCAACAGCTGTGTTAGGAGGAAGAATTTTAATATGAGCAGCTTTTCCTGTCACTGTAGCAACAGGCTGCATCTGACAAATCTGTTTCTTCTGCTACTGGGTGTTAGATTGAGGAGTCTCCAACACTGAACATAGCTATCCTAACAGTGTTTTTGTTAAGAGCCATGTGGCTGAGCCCACAAACATAGCTAGGGAAGTTTGAACTGCAAGATGACTGGTAAGACTTCCAGTGGAATCATCATCAGGTTAATGCCTATGGAGAGAACTGGACATCTGTCAGCCTTACATGAGAAGCCTGGGAGTAGTGGCCAAGCTAGTTTTCAGGGGGAAATGGTAGACCATGTGTTGTGCCATTATTAGACAGATTAGCCTGGTTTTCCTGACAGTTCACTTTAAGATGTTTTTACCTGGCAAGTGCTACTAAGGCTGTCCCTAGTTGGCATGACCTTTCAGTTTATAAGCACACTGAGGTCAGAATCTGAGATTGTAGAAGCCCTGTTTGTGTTTATGGGATGGAATGCCTCAAGTAAAAAGGTGAAAGCTTCCCCTCATAGTCTACTGAAAGTACAAATGATTGAGGGAAATGAAGAAGCAACAGATACATTTGCTTTCCTAAAATACAGTCTTACTTTAGATTAGTGGTTTCCAGTCTGGGGTCCCCAGATGTTGTTTGCCTACAGTGTCCTTCAGCATTGACCATTAGCCATGCTGGCTGGGGTGCTGGGACTTTTAGGGACCTGCCCTTAAGCACCTCTGTGTTTGATTCCAGTGAATAAGAGAGCTTCCTAAAATCAGATTCTTGCATGAAATAGAGTTTGGTGCAACCTGAAAGACATCACTAATAAGGAATTAATCCAGTCAAATATATTTTCAGTTAATCCATTTGCATTTCAGGCAATGAGAATTAAGGTAGCTGATGAAATTATGGGCAGGTATGCAAAAATCCAAGGAAGAATGGATTTTTCTCTCATAGCTAATTTGTGGAATTTGTTGGATGTGATAACCAAAAGAGGAGACATCATGGAAACTAATCCAATACAGAGCAAATATGTATTGCCAAATTAGGGAAAAATCTGGTCTATTTGTTTTAGCATTCTTTTTGGTTATGGAAAACTTTAATATTTTAAGCATTTTGAAAGTGATTAAAAACTCAGGGGAAACAGGGGATTTTGTGCATGTATTGCAAGAGTGAGCCAAGCTCTCTCCCAGGGCAGACTTGTGCAGTGCTCAGGAACCAGAAGGGCTCCGTGCTCAAACTCCACACTTAATATTCCTTCCCAGTAGTAGATCTCCTAGCGGTAAATCCTGTCGTCGTTTTCTGGGCACCTTCATCCTTCAAGAGAAGGTGGCTACTGAAGCATTTGTGCCATTGTATGCGAAGAAACCCTGGCTGTGAGCATGACAGCTGGGCTGCCTCTGCTTCATGATTCACTGTGTGTACAAGTACCATGCAGGCATGTGGGAGTACTCCCGTTGAACTCATTGTGCGTGGGGGTGGGAGGTGGCACTGTTGTCTTTCTGCAAATTTATCTATTGGCATCGAATTCTAAGTTCTGTTCACTGCCTTGAGAAATTATAGAGAACTTGGAAGCTAATCACTGGTCTTTAATCTCCTCTAAGAATCCCACTGGAGTTGGGCAGAGATAATTTTCCATGTAACTTCACAGTCCTCATAAATGCATGCATGGCAGTTGGGGACTACCCAGAAAATGTTTTGTTATTTTTCCTGGGAATCAAGATTCCCACCAACTATTCTGACAGATTCTAGTTGTGTCCCTCTGTAGGCTGCTTTGTAGGCCAGAGCTGCATCTGTTTTGGAATGGGTTGCCCCATTCCCCAGATGGAGCTATTTTCCTTCTCTTTCACTCTCAGAACAGAGCGTTAATTAGCAACTTGCTTTGCTTTTTCCAGATGCAAACATTTCATGTTCCATCTCCATGTGCCAAGGAAGAGGATCTGGCCAGTGGGGTCACAGTTGCTCAGGTGCTGCACAAGATGTAAGTGTCATGGAACTGTAGCAAAGGTGGAAGACTCTTAAAGGGTTCTCTTGATGCTAATCGTAAGAGAGCCTGACAGAAACGCTGTCTGCCCCCCTGGTGTCTCCTCTTTTCTCCCTAGCCTAGCTTACAGTTTGATAACCTGAACGAGTGCTGCCAGGAGTTGTTGTTGTTATTACTTTGCTAGCAAGTGGCTTGTAGCTGAACAGAACAGCATTCTGGCAGAACAGAAGGATAAACATCTAGGGAGAGGGGATGGCACTTGACACTTATCATCTTTGTCACAATGGAAACATGTGAATGAAGTCTGATTTTGTGAAGTATAGCATCAGCAGAGCCACAGTGTCACTGGGAGCTTTCATGGGAGAGCCTAGAGTTACTGAGCAGTTGTGGCCGACTGTAAAGTATTTACTTCTTCTCCCAGTCAAGACCAATGACAGTATTGTTGCTGTTTTAACTTCCCCAGAGACCCCTCTTGGTTCAATGAAACATGGCTCTTGAGAATTAAAGATGAGGCTGCTGACAACTGGAGGCTGAAGGTATGAAATAGGATGGCACGAATTGTTGTTCCACGGGTCAAGAGGTGTAGCAACCCAGACAGGAGATTTTGGCACAATATCTTGATAATAGCATTGTCACACGATGCTCTGTATTCAAGAAATAACCCCTTCTGGATCAAGAATGCTGGGGAAATCTACCTCAAATGCATGTTGGGGGAATTGCCCACAATCTCACTGATTTTATTCTTCTGGGGAACTGCTGCTCTTTGTCTTGAAATATTTAACCAAAATATAGAGCCCAAGTGTTAATAACTGGGATAATTCATTCTGAGAAGTGGAGCAGTCTTGTAAGGTGCCCATAAAATAGCAATGTAGACAAATCCAGTTATTCCACATAAACACATGATTGAGAGATTACAGTACAACAAGGATGGGACTCTCAGGCCTGAGAACCAAATCCAGCCCTCTTGAGGTCTCAGCCTGGCCCCAGAGGGCCTGCCCCCTTCTCTTGCCCCCACTCTTTCCCCAAGCTACTCTCATGAGCTGCTTCCTGGCTTTTGCTCAGTGTTCTTTCCATTCTAAAAGGTAGAAATGCATTTCCTAGAGCTTTGTTACTGGCAGTAATGGGTTTAGGCTAAAGTATACTGGTACTTTTTGTATTTTTAGCCTCATCTCCAGCCTTACCTACCACTGAAATACCGTTCCAAGAGCTTCTACAAAATTGAATTTGCCCTTTAGGCTGAAGGACCATGGCTATGCAGCATTTAATGGTTGACGATGAGGCTTCAAAGGAAGAGAGAGATGTGGGGAGTAGGTTAAGAATGAGTTGGCGAGATGGAGTGTCTGCACGACTGTGGCTTCAGAGAAAGTGGAGAGAATACGGAAGTACAGTGGGACTTAGAGATGGGAAAATATGTTGAAAAGCGATAGAAGAGGGATTGTTTAACTAGACAACTTCATAGGTTTTGTCTGAATGCAGGAAAAACCTGTGATGATCAGTTGTGTAGCTGGACACCAACTGGGAGCTCACAAATTCTGAGGCAGGAAGGGAAACTTAAAAGAAGGCAAGCATGAACTCAGGGAAAGTTTGGTGTGCTAGGACGCTTAGATACTTGGGAGTATAAGAGACTTGAGGAACAATGGGTGGTCCTGAAAGGTGTGTAAGAAGAAAAATATTGTCTTATTTCTGGTCTAGTAAAGAGAAGAATCTGCTCTGGTAGTGGAATTGTAGCATTTTTTGTACAGTGCAGTTTACTTCCCAAGACTCTGGGAGCCGATTCCATAGGTGTGCAACATCCTTTCCCAGCCAGATGTGTTAGACTACAGCTCCCATCATTCCTGACCATTGGTCATGCTCTCTGGGGCTAGTGGGAGTTGATGCCCAGAACATCCAGAGGGCTTCTCGCTGAGGAAGGCTGGTGTACAGTGAGGCTTAATTACAGTCAGACAGAGGGGAGGTTGGATGTTTACTATCTCAGGAGGCCCTACACTTGCTGCATAGCAAATAGGGCTGCTCCATTGTCCATGTCAGTTGAATTTTCACCGGGAAAAACCAGTCTGATTTGCTGTTGCCACCCAAGCCTCTGCTTAGCTTTCCAGGCATTTCCTTTTCCAGGCAGAACAAAATGCAAATAGTTTGAGCCATACTGCTCATTGAAGGGACTTGCAACATGGCAGTGGAACTTTGCCCTCCTGGCCACAGCAGGGATGTACGAGTACAATCTTCAGGTTTTAGACGGCTATCCATAACATGTTGGCTTAGCTGATCGGGGCTGACCTTTGATCTGCAGTGGAGGGTGAGATTTAACTGAAAGGCATCTTCACTAAATATAGGAGGCCTGGCCTACATTCATTCCTAGATTTTGCTGCTGCTGGAGCATCAGGACTATCATCTCCCATCCAAGTATGGTTGAAGTCTGCTGCCTCTTTCTCTAGCCCAGCATAGGAAATGTTAGATTCCACCTCAGTGGCTGCATTATCCATTCCTGCATTCTAAGCCAGAACGTAGTTGACCCTGGAACTGGGCCTAGGCTAGTGGGAAGTAGGTGTCCCATACATGGACAAACCGACAAATGTATGTGTCACTTTTCTCCCATTTTGTCCCCAGGTGAGCAACCTGAAGAAGGTCCTGCAGAGTGTGGTGGAATATTCCCAGGATGTGAGTATCTTCCCTGGGCTGGGTTGGCTAGCGTGTCGGTAAGGCCTTCCTGCGTATCTTGCCTTGTGTGAAAATTAAGGGACTGTGATTAGGCAACAAATGAGCATGTGAATGCAAATAGAATCTAACCTACAGTTGTCCGGCCTGGTCATATGGAAGCTAGCACTGAAGCTGGGGGTTCATGGCTGGAGACCAGTATTCCTTGCTTCCTACCCATAGTTTTGACAAAACAGGTGTGCTCCAAATGGAACTGTGTGTTGCTGGTGTTCTATGGCTCTGCTTTACTCATTTCTCTGTGTATAAAAATATAAATCAATTGAGAGTCATGATGGTGTACTGGGAAAAATGTTGGGCTTAGACTGAATTGGTTTGGTGTCAAGTTCCTTTGTTGGCAAATTGGGTTCGACTTAAGGTTGAAACACTTATCTTCCCTTGTCTTAACGTACCTCACGGTAGGATATTTACAATGACAAAATGGTGGGAGCAAGGAGGAGACCATAGATGCCTCCCTGCAGTGTCTGGAGGAAGATCAGGCTAGGACTATAATGACAATAGATGATCGCCAGTAAAGGCAGCCTTGCAAGTCCACCCAAATTACCAGCCCATTTAGTCTGGTTAATAACATATGGCCCATTGGTAACCAAGAAATGGATTTTGCTGCTTTTGAGAGCTTCCCTGTTTGGTAACCTGGAGGAAATTACTGTTTGCTACAGGCTCCTGGGCCTGTTCCAAGCCTAAATTAAAGATCCTTAAGCACAACTTTCCAGCTCCCATACAAACTGTTCTTGCTGTCTATTCTGTCTGGCGTGGACCTTGCTACCAACAGCTGTGCTGAGCTGAGGGTAGGACGTGGCGACAGCAGGAATATTGGAAGGTCCACTGTCTGTCAGAAGCTACATCTGGATTTCTCTTCTGCATATCCTCAGGTCCTGGGCCACCAAGTCCCAGAGCAGCTGCTGCCTGATGTAGCCCTGATTGGGGAACTGTCTGACACGGCTGAGCTGGGCAAATTGCTGCAGCTGGTGCTAGGCTGTGCCATCGGCTGTGAGAGGAAGCAAGGTATGTATATGCAAGTGAGCAGCAAGTCAGGGGATGTAACCCTGGCACAGCGTGAACATCTGTGCCAGAGGCATCATTTCTCTGCAGCGGCTGCTTTCGCTCTCCAGGGGAGAAGGTCTGGCTCTTAACTGTCCCACTTGCTGAGACGTTGCTGTGCCACTCACAGGGATGCGGTGCTGCCTCTTGCCTTGTTCAGGTGGCGGCAGAGTTTCCTTCAGCTCATGCCTCCTCTCTCCCTCTGTCTCTTTGGACTCTTGCTTTCCTACTCTTTCCTCTGCTGCCGCTCCCCACTGAGATTGGCTCCGGACTGTGGTTCCTTGTGTGTGCTAGCACCTGGCCTTCTGCCACATCGCAGATCGAACCCCTATCCCAGAGGCTCTGCCCCAGCCTTTGTAGCCACCGGATTCCAGCAGCAGGAGGCATGGGGCAGTGGCCAAAGGAGTCAGGCTTTATTATCAGGGCTGAACCTCCTCTGTTTCCAGATCACATCCAGCAGATCATGACCCTGGAGGAGTCTGTGCAGCACGTTGTTATGACAGCAATACAGGAGGTGAGTGTGGTTGTGGTTTGCTGCCTGGGATGAAGCTCGTTGGCACTGAATGGAATGCTTGGTTGGTATCCAAGCCATCTCCCTGGCTAGTGCCTCTCAAACTCAGCTATTAACCCAGCCAGTGCTTCTGGTCCAGTGTGACTTGAAATTATTAGTGCCTCTGCTCCATGCCAGCCCTTGCCCCTCTCTAGATGGAAGTCAGCGAAGATGTCCTTGTTCACCTATGTCTGCTTCCCAGGATACGCAGCTTGGAAAGGTGCGGAGGCAGCTGTGTGCTGCCAGTTTCTAAAGCTTTTCACTCCTCTCTTCCAGCTGTTGACCAAAGATTCACCAGACACACTGAGCTCAGAGACGTATGGGAACTTTGACAGTCAGGTACCCATGATGGTTTACACGGGAGTGTGTGGGTGGAATAAACTTGAATGATGCCAAAGCCATGGACCCAGGGTGTTGAGCTTCTTTCACCTCCAGGGCTAGATCCTGTTTCAGCAAAGCTCTTTGGCATCCCAAGGTAGATGGGGCTGAAAGCAAAAGGAGAGGGGTCAGAATGCCAGCATATTTTAGTTTAAAGCCCTCACCTCCAGTAACTAAGCCATAAGAGAGGCATTTCAAACTTTTTAGAACGGGGGGTGCAGCCCCCCAAAAAACCATCCAGTGATCAGGGGGGAAAGGGTGAGGCCAGGGGAAGGGGCCATGGTCCTCTGGGAAGGCCCGGAGGGCAAGATTGGGACCATGGGCCTGAGGTTGAGCAGCCCTGCAGTAGGCTTGTGCTGAGTGGGAAAGGAGAGCCCCACCTTCCCTGGTGGAGAGAAGGCTTGTGCTGGTCTGAGCTGCTTATGTGGTGAAAAGCTCTTCCACGGAGTCCTCGCCCCTCTTTCACATTGCTGATCTGTTCTGTCTTGCAGTCCCGTAAGTACTACTTCCTCAGTGATGACCTGGAGGAGACGGATGACATGCAGCAGCGCTGCCATGACCTGGAGCAGCAGGTGGGTGCCCCTTGGGCTCTGGGTCTTTGTAGAAGGAGGCCAGCTTTGCTTGCAATGACTCTGGAAGGCAGCTTCTACCCTGCTTCCAGGGGTGGCCACCAAGGGCTGTTCAGATGAGCTCTGTCCTTCCCAGTCAAATGGGAAAGTTGGCATTTAGAGGAGTCTGCTGGACTGTCTGCACTCAGCAAGGGTCAGTGCATACGGGGGCCACTCTCAGTGCTGCCATGCATACTGGGGTGACTGCCAGTGGCCGGGAAAGGGTATGTCTTGAGCCACTCTTTTCAGTGCCGTAACATCATTTGCCTTTCCCCCCGTGTTGTGCAGCTCCCTGAGTGCTGAGTTCACAGAGTTGCTGAGACCAGCCTTTTTTCTGGCCTGCCCTGGGGAAGGCAGTGGGGACCTGCCCTCCACTGCCCCGTGCAGCCTGGCACTGGTGACGAGTGATGCTGCTCTTTGGGAATGCGGTGGGCTTGCTGGGCAGCATGGTGCCGGCTCGGCTGGGCTGGGCTGGGCTGGGCTGGGGTGTAGTTTGCTGTGTGAGTGCCTGCCCTCCTGTGCCTGGTGAGCAGCTGTTCTCCCCCATCCCCTGTGTCTTGAGGCGCTTGAAGTGGAGACCGAGACCAGCCTGGGGATTCTGGGGCTACACCTGGCTCCGGATTTTGCGCCTGCTCCGTGAGGTGGCCTGTGACCCTGGGCCAGCCACCCTGGGCCTCCATTTGCTTTATGAGGGCTGGGAATCTGACCACTGTCCTGCAGAAGAGCTGGATTGAAATACGTGCTGTATCACTGTGGATGCTTTTGGGTCCTGTAGCGACAGGAGGCTGTGGGTGGGTGGGGACCTGCGAAGGGCCAGCTGAACTTTCTCCCTTAACCCGCCCCCCACCTTTACTCCTCCAAGGTGCTAAGGTGCCCCTGGGGATGCAGCCCCCTTCAAGAAGGTGAGTGCCCCCCCCCCCAAGCTCTTGCCTATGATAACAAAGCTGCCCACCCAGCGGCGAAGCCTTCTGCCTGCTGGGGCCAGCCTAACCTCCTTGCATGAGCATGCACCATGCTGACAAGTTAACAGCTGCTTGAGAGGGCTTGCTCCAGATACGGAAGTGGACTTGTGTCTGGCTGGAGTAAGGAGAGCCTCCTGGCTCCGTACTAATAGAGCACCAAATGCACACTCCGCCCCGCCACAGCTCACTAAACTGTGCGTGAAAGCTTTTCCAGTTACTAAAGCTGATGGAATACATCCTGGCCTCTTCTGTGGTCTCGTCTGTTAGCAGCGTTTGATCCGAGGTTGGGGAAAGAGTGGCTTCTCCGGACATCGTTGAGTTGCAACGCCTCTCAGTCTTCCCCAATGGTTAGAGCCGATGGGAGTTGCCGTTCAGGAGCTCCTGGAAGGCTCCGTGTTCCCCACCACTGCTTTAAACTTTGCAGCAATTTGGGACCCTCGTAGCAGGTAGACACTTCATTGTAATAAGGCCTTCACATCCATCAAGGGAGCACAAGCCTTGACAAGAGCTTGCTAGAACTACCAGGAGAGGGTGAGCATTCTCGCTTGCCAGCATTTACTTGCCAGGCTCCAACAGTCCCAGTTTGGATTGTCAAAATCCACCCAGTAAGTCACTGGTTGCTGCAAGAAACGCCCTGACAAGACTGGTCTCAATAGGTGCTATGGTGGGGGAGGATAGGAGACCAAATATAGACACTTTCCTACACTTGCACATAAGCACCTGTCTGATATACTTTGTAACAGCTGCATGGCTTCCTGATTCTCAGATTTGGAGATACAGCCATCTGCCGGAGCAGCAGCAAGAAGGAAGTCATTTGTGGCTTCATGTGACAGATTAATAGAAAGTGAGAGGTCTAGTTTCTCTGCAGTCTGTTCTTGAAAGCAGAGCGGTCAATAGACAAGACCTCAGGGACTATTCTCTAGCTCCTGCCCCTCTGCTCCAGTTCACTTGTAAGATAAGGTTAAACTGCTCAGGCTGTTTGGCTTCCAAGTCCCTGCCAAATTCCCCATCGTGCTGAAGTGGACTGTGCTGGATTCTTGATGGCAGCAGTGCTGAGCTCTGTGGCTTCCCAGAGTGTCTGACTCTTCTCTGCTGCCCAACACCTTTTCAGATCTCCATCCTGATGGAAGAAAAGAATACGTTGGCTTTGGAGAACAAGACCCTTCGGGAGCAGAAAAGCTCTCTGGAGTTGGATGCTGCTGGGATTACTGGCAAGAAGTTGCTTCTGCTTCAAACCCAAATAGAGCAGCTGCAAGAAGAGAACTTCCGGTAAGGCTGATACTGGGGAGAGCCAGAGGTTGGGCCCTCTAATGTGCTGAGCGGGTTGCAGCGCATTGAACAGAAGTCTACCTAACGAGTTCTTTTCGTCAGACTGGAAAGCAGCAGGGATGACTTCCGGGTGCGCTGTGAAGATCTAGAGAGAGAGGTTCAGGAGCTGCAACACCGCAACGAAGAGCTGACCAGCCTGGCAGAGGAAGCACAAGCGCTTAAAGATGAAATGGATGTGCTCCGGTGAGTGTTCCTTGATATTTGGGCTGCAATATTCTTTCCTAACTCCTGTTCTTCATTGTTACCGTGACCGTGCCTTTTAAGCCAGTGTACATGGGCTTGGTGCCCATTTGGCAGGAGAAAGTACCAGATAACCCCAGTCTGGATGCTGGAATGTACAGCTTTTGAGTTGAGATGAATGGGGTATTTTGTTTCTTATCCACTATTGTTCCAGTGTTTGGCTCTGACCTTGGTGTAGCAATTCCTGGTGCTTTACACTGAAGCTTTCTGCAGACAGTGGTGTTACTTTATTGGATAAAAAGTGAAGGGATGACAGCTGCACTTGCTCTGATATTAAAAGCTATAAAGCATTTTGCTTTTCTGCCACTCTTCGTCCGCTTCAGCCACTCGTCAGATAGGGTGGGGCGGCTGGAAGCCATGGTAGATTCCTACAAAAAGAAGCTGGAAGACCTGGGTGACCTGCGACGGCAGGTCCGGCTGCTTGAGGAGCGGAATACTGTCTACATGCAGCGCACTTGTGAACTGGAGGAGGAGTTGCGACGAGCCAATGCTGTACGTGCACAGCTGGAAACACACAAAAGACAGGTGAGACAGTGGAAGAGGCTAGATCTGAAAGCTGGAAGCCTTCCAAAGAGTCGGAACAATTGCAAGGGAACAGTACCATGACCCAAACTTGAAGCTGCCCAAAAGCAAGTTAGAGCACTTTTGGGCTTAGGGGCCTGGTCTTTATATTCAAACATAAGTAACACTTGTCAAGTCAAGTGAAAATCCAAACCCACAATAGATCAAAGCTGAAGCTGTACTACAACCTTCAGGCAGATCCATTGTATTGAGCAGTCCTGTGTTCAGTCTCATAGTTTACAGGAGCGCTAAAAGTAAGCCCAGGTTACCTGTGATGAGGCAGGACACTGCAGGTAGCTCTGGAGCAGGAAGGTGGCAGGAAGAGATGGTGGACGGAAAGTATGCTTCCTTTCTTTCCTTCTCCAGGTGCAGGAACTTCACAGCAAACATGCAGATGAAGCCTTGAAGGCAGAGAAATGGCAGTTTGAGTTCAAGAACCTCAAGGAGAAGTTTGAGGCACTGATAAAAGAAAAAGAGGTAATGCAGGACTGATTCTCAGGATGGACCGTGCTCCCCTTGACTTTGGGGTAAAGATGTAGTGACAAAAACAGGGAAATATGGAGACAGAGTAGCAGTTGGGGCATATAAATCTATTTGGTGATGGTCGATTGCAACTTAATATATTAAGGGTTAAGGGTTTTCCCCCTTCTGCAACATTGTATGAATTTTATTGCAGAGGCTGATTGAAGAGCGGGATGCCCTTCGGGAGGCCAATGAAGAGCTGCGATGTGCTCAGGTGCAGCAAAAATTCTTAAGCCAAGCAGGTGAGCTGGGGAAAACGTCTCAGCATTCATTTTGGAGGAGGTTTGATGGATTGCTTGTGGGGAGGATGGGAACGTGTGGAAGGGCTAACAGCTCCAAAGTCACTGTGACTTTTTGCACATTTAGCTTTGTTAACGCATGCAAAACCAGTGAAAACAGGGAAGCTGCCCATTGTGATCATCAGAAGAGGCAGCTTGGCATTCCCTACAATGCAGAGGATGGGGATGCATGCGAGGGGACCCTTGGTGGTGATGTGCACAGGGTGATTATCTTGTCCCAAGGTATCCTGCATACATTTAGTTGACAAAATAAGACCATGTTTAGGCATGCATCTTATCAAGATGTCTCTTGATTGATTTCTGGTTGAGTGTTGAGATATTGTTTGCTTGGTTGCAGCTAGTTTTGCTGCTGGAATCGTATCAGCTGTAGGAGAGCTGGATGGCAGGATTTTAGGCTTTTAAGAAGTCTAGCCTTGCCGAGTGACCCTGTCTTGCAAAGGCTTTGCTGCAGCGTGTGTGCTCCCTTCCTTCTCTCTTGTGCTCATTCATTCATTTCTGACCGGAGTGTCTGCAACAGCTTGTATGGAAGACCTTACGGTATGGTTGACCATTGCCTGATAGGAGATTACCAACTTAATCTTGGTCTGAGTAGCTTTTCCCAGCCTGCATTCTTGCCTGACTGATTTTTTTCTCCTGGTTTGATAGAAAATGCTAACATTAAGCACCTGCTGCTGAATATTACCGGGCTGCATAACTGCATAGCTTAAACTCAGGTCAGATGATCTGTCCAGCTGTGGCTGGATCAAGTGATCTGAGGGCTGTAATAATCCCATTTTAGGAAGCTGTACATATAACAAAACAGTCTTTGGGTTCCATTGGCTCCTCTATGTTAACCTGTATTTTTCTGGGAAAAGGCAACAAAAAACTATCTCCTGTTCTCTCCCCGTCCCTGTTCCCTTCCAGATACTATGCGAGAAGAAATTGCTCCTCCTGTGGATAACTTGGCAGCTGAGATTATGCCAGCAGAACTCAAGTAAAGTTTGTTTTCATTGGGCCCTTGGTTGGAGATGGGATGGGAACAGCATAACAGGCTTAGCCTTTACTATTCTTTGTGGTAATACTTGACTATTTCCACTAGCTGAAAGCTTAAGTTAGCATGGTCAGAGGACTCAAGCTAGGAAGATTGGAAGGGAACATGGTTCTATCACTTCTGGAGTCTTTGATGTAGAGAAGGAGGGCCAGGTACACTCCCGGAAGTGGGGGTGTCTTTTTTTTTTTTTCCTGACTTTGTAGCTAGAAGTGCCACTCCCAGTGAAGCCTACAGCTTGTTTGTTGAGGCTTGTATTCCAGCCTTCTCCTATTTCTTACTAATCAAAATTTGTTTTTTCCCTTCAGGAATGAAACTTCCCTAAAGATATCCTAGTTAATTCAGAAGGGCTTGCCCCTCACCACATGCATACAAGCTATATTAGTGAGCCTGCAGCCTCTTTAGTCCAGTCTTGGACTTAAGTAAGATGAGTAAGATGCATAGAATCAGCTGCCCCTCAGCCCATCCCTCTTGCCCCATCTCACAGCATCAAAATATGTAACTCCTCATTTCCCCTATCTGATAATCCTAACACTTTCGTTTCCTGTGCTTAGGGAGACCATTGTGCGACTGCAGCATGAGAACAAAATGTTATGTGTGCAAGAATTGTCTTACCGGCAACAGCAGGCTGAATTGCAGGGGCTGCTGGAAGAATCAAACCGCACCAAAAACCAGCTGGAGGCACAGCAAAGGTATCCAAAAGTTGTGGAAGGTTTACTGACTCTACTGTGTAAGGAACGGACCTATGAGTCTCGGCCTTTCTTCCCTGGCTCCTCAAAAAGAAAGACTCGGGGTCTTATGTCATTTCCTAACTGGAAACAGGCATGCCAGACTGATTACCCTGAATTGTTAAATTTGGCACATCTAGCATAGAAATCGAACTTTCTATTCTGCATTTGAAATCCATTAATACTGGCCTCCTATTTAAAACTGGTGGGACAACTCTTACTGCTTGCCCACTGAATAAGCCACGTGTATATATTTAAGTAGGAGGTACTCTTCACCTGATCTAATATGAATTTAACGCAAATGTTTTATTGCTAGTGATGGGCAAGCTTAACCTTAAAATGGGAAAAACTTTGACTGACTGCCTCTGAGACCACCCACTCCATACACACAAATTGCCCCTTCGCAAAAAAAAAAAAAAAAAAAAAAAAAAAAAATGCAGCTGTGGAATGTTACAAGGTCCCACAAACCCATACTGTATGAGGGGAGACCAAAAAAAATAGGAATGTATTTATAAAAAATGGTGTATTTATTTTTACGTATTCAAACTTCAGTCACCTTCAAAGTATTCTCCTTTTGATGCAATACATCTATTAAGACATTTTTTCCACTGCTCAGAACAGGTTTTGAATGCGTCAATTCTGATGCCCTTTAGTGTTCCTGCCATTTTTTTTCACCTCTTCCACGTGGGCACAACATTTCCCTTTGAGGACTTTTTTCATCAAGGGAAACAAAAAAAGCCACACAAGCTGAGGTCGGGTGAATAGGGAGGGTGGGGCACAAGGGTCATTCTGTTTTTGGTCAAAAGCTGCTGAACACTCAGTTGAACAAAATTTTACTGCTGCACGTTGTTTGTGTAAATCGGCCATTACGAAACAGGCAAATGCATTGAAAGAGTCTTTAAAAAACAAAACCCTAACTGAAGCCAAATGTAGCCCCTCGCAATTATTTGTAAGCCGCCCCGAGGCTTCGGCGAATGGGGCGGCCTAGAAATTTTCTAAATAAACAAACAAACAACCCAGCTGGGTACACTGATGCAGATGGTTCCTAGAACACTCACCAAGCGGGGGGAGCCTGTACTACAAGGGCCCTGCCCTCCAGAAGGTAATTCCTGGTTTTTTCAGTCCCCCCCTCGTACATGACATGCTGTGGACCTGTCATTTGTGTGCTGAGAGTCTACGTGCTTGCCAGCATTCATGATCTTGCACTGCAAAGAAGCTCCAAACGGGCTTAGAACACAGGTTCCAGTATTCCCAGTTGCACAGGACTGTCTGATTTGGGCAGCTCTGTGTAGTCAAGCAGAGGTCCTGGCAGGGCTTCCCCTCTGGCTATTGCTGTCAAAGACAGGTAGGGGTGCTTGGGAGCTCCCCCTTTGCTTGACTATGAATGCTTCTTCCAGTCTGGAGAGGCCTTGTGCCTTGTCAACTATTCTTTTGGTAGCCTAGAAGGTGGGATAGGATGGGATTTTATTTCTGGCTTGAATTTTAATTCAAGTGTTAGGAGTCTTGGGGGCAATGCCTTCTTTAAGATGAGCATTAGGTTTGTAACTGATCTCAGTTACCTCAAACTTGATCAACATCTCTGACTTCAAGGAACATCTCTCATTGGGAATCTTGTATAATAATAAATAATAGTGTTCATTTAGAGCTACACTTCATGCTTCATCATACAGAGCACTTCTTGTTCCTCATATCTTCATGTCTCTATTAGCAACCATAATCGATAGCTGCACTGTGGAAAACAGGGCCAAAATTATCCCTAGTCATTAGCTGTGGAGAAGATGATGAGCAATGCTGCTTTTCTCCCTTGATCTCAAAAATTAAAGGAGGAGTGGAGAGTCCTCAGGAACTGAAGCGCCGATTAACAGTGTAGTCTTTTACAAGGCTGCACAGAATTAGAGGTGTATCCAGTGAGGCTTAATTCTTGTTGTCTTAAGATTCAGTCCTGTACCCACTTTCTTCATAGCAACCCCAGCAAACTAAATGCGATAGACTTGTGAGTAGACATGCATAGAATTGAGCTGCTAAAAGATACACCTCTCTGCTAGCATCTCATTGTTACGAGAAATCTGCATTTTAACAGTGTGGGATTTGTCACTATTTATGGCTGGTCCTCCCCCTATTTACTCTGCTTGTTTTCCCCATCTAGACTTAGCCAGCAACAGATATCTGAGCTCAAGGCACAAGTGGAGGAGCTCCAGCGGGCCCTTCAGGAGCAAGGAAGCAAGGCAGAAGATGTGAGTCGCCCTGGGAATTGGCTGCGGGAGACCTTGAGCTGGGCTTATGGGGAGGTGTCAAAAAATGTTCACCGAGCCAGATTCATCCATTCTGCCTCGGTGCTGACTTCCTTGCAAGGGGGTAGTAACAGGAGCTCTCAGGTACCCATCTGCTGGTTGCACGCTGGAACTGTGTCTTTAAAGAACGCCTCTGTGCAGGAGGCATTATACATGGGCTGTACCATCTTAGCTAGCATTGTGGGCTCTCTGGCTTAGCTATATCAAATGGAAAGGTCTGTCTATTTTCTGATTATCCTTGGGACTCAAAGCAACAAACAAGGGAGAATTTAAGCCTCAACACTATGATTGCCACTTGACAAGACTGCCATAATGTGGATGGCAGAGCTTTCTGAGGGTATGGAATGGCCAAGATAAATGGCACATACAGTGCTGCACTCTTGGGACCTACAGAGTCCCAGCTTGGAGCGACCGTGCTGGACATGGAAGCAGTGTCTGGCGGAGAGCACTGCTTACCTGGAGGCTCTCTAGTACAGCTTGGCCCAAGTTAAGTGTCTCTTCCCCTGTTGCCTGTTCTTGAACTCACCATGATCTGCTCACCAGGCCTCTTCTTCCCCACCCTCCTCTTACATCTCACTATGCTAATGGCCCTCTCTTTCTCCCCTCTGACTTGCTGGCTGTCCTGTCCAGGCCATTGTAAGTACTTGCACATCCTGCGTTGCTTCCATTCTCTACCCTGCTCTGCTGCAAACTTGCTGTCACTTCTTGTATGTCAGTGTTGGGTCTCGCTGTGTCAGGGAAGGGTAGCCACGCTGGGTTCATGCTGTAAGGGGCCTTAATGCTGACGGTGTGGAGGGACGCCAGTGCAGCAAGGCTGTGTAACTGCTGCTCCAAAGGGCAAGTTATTACCAGGACACCTTAGTAGCTTGGATCTGTTTCTGGATTGAGACAAGGTAGTTACTGCATGTGCTCCACGCTTTTTCCCAGGAGATGTGTGCAAGAAGTGACAGTCACTAGCTGCTGCACTGAAGCAAAGGCTAGCACATGGAGCATCCGTGTGTTGGGGGATGGAGAGTATGAAGCCCACTGTCCACCTCATAGACAAATATAATCCATAAAAAGGCAGGTCAGCATTTTCCAAGGAGAAGGTTGTTGCCTCATGGGGATCACTGGCAATGGCGGCATGCAATATCCAGGTTGTTGAGAGCCCTAGTTGAGAGGAGAAGCAAGACGCAGGTCAGAAGCAGAGCAGAGAGCACTGGAGCACTGTAGGTTTGCCCTGTGCTTAGGATATGTGCTTCCTGTATGGGGTAGCAAGTGCACAGAAGCTTCTATTTTGTGCTTCAATTTTAAAAAGTTTTAAAAGTTTGTAACTTTTATGGCTTGAAACAGTTTGGGTAACTCCTGCTGAGATCTCAGTCATTAAAATGAAGTGAAGCAGCATTTCCAGTAGCTGCAGACTAGGACTGAATTCGCCACATAACACTTCACTTGTATGAGACAAGCCAAACTTACTTGTATTTATATGCCACCCCATAGGCTGAGGGCTCTCAGAACAGAAAAAAAGTTCTTGCATCATATCTCCAGGTAGCAGAACTCTGTTGCAGGATTTTGATTTCTGCATATATCCCTCCCTATGAGGCCTTCAGGCATAGGTAGATGTGAGACATAGAAGACTAGTGGGTGGAGGTATAAATTCACAAGGTCTGCAAACTTGCAGGTCTACATGGCAGCAGTAGGAGTAATCTGCTGTGATATAATATGGTTAACTTTGCAGAGAGAATAAGAAACCTGTTTTAAAACATTTGGTGTAAGTTAGAGTCAATCTTGCTTTGCATTGCCTGGCCTTGCTGATACCCCTTCAGTGAGAAAGTCTGGGTGGTCCAGCAGAAAGGGAAAAGACTTGGACTTTTGGCATCAAATTGGGGAATTTGTTGGAATAAAGGAGTAAATACTAACTGCTATGGATATCTCTTGCGTTAAGGTCTGCAACCTCATTCATACACACAGGATTCTGGTGTGGAGCTGATAACTCTGCTCAGTCCACTTATACCACATATTCTACCTGTTGCTCTCTGCTGCCTTGGTGCCCATGCCTGCAAAGCTGCTCTGGTTCAACAGAGTGGTTCTGAGTCCAGCAGCAGCCCAACCTGTCTTCCGAAGCACATGAGAGCAGATCTGAATGAAAACCGTGAACTCCTGGTGCCCCACACCCAGCCAGACTGAGGCCTTCGAGGCCTATACATGCGTGTAGCTAACAGGCATGACCTGAATGTAGATTTCCAGGCCTTCAGTACATCACCCCTAAGGAAGCTGACAGGTGTTAATGTTTGATGCAACCTTTATTGAACATAGGATTAGCTCACTCTGGTAGCCAGACAGCACATAACAGGTTGTTCCTTGCTACCCTAGTACATAAATTAGCAAGCAATATAACCGGCTGACTCAGCATAGCACAAAAAATCCTAAGCACTCGTTTTGATCTCTTTTTAGTCTTCTTTGCTGCAAAAGAAACTGGAAGAACACCTGTAAGTACTTCCATTCACAGTCTCTGGGGCAGGGTAGGACCGAGGGCTCCATGAACATAAAGCTCAAGAGGCTCGTTTCTGTATATTGGGTGCATTTCTGAGCCTGTTACAGGCCTGTCCAGAAACCAAAAAAGGGTAGAAGACCAGAGCTCTGATGTGGGCTCTGGAAGAATGGATAAGACATGCTATGCTGCTTGCAACTTATCTTCCACACCTTTGCACCAGGGCTCTCCGCTCCTACCCTTGCAATTACTGGCCTTCATTCTTCATGCCAGTCACATGCTAACCTCCCTTTTCTCTCATGCCCTGACCAGAGAAAAACTGCATGAGGCCCATGCAGAGCTTCAGAAGAAGAAGGAATGCCTTGATGAACTGGAGCCCAAGGTGGACAGCAACAGTAAGTGACTGGATGCCGATTCCATTGCTTTAGGCTGTCAGATGCATACCCAGTCTTCTCTGGCCACCAGACGAGGTGACCCAGTCAGGTACTGGAGTGGGACACTAGACTGGGCTTCCCATTGTGTAAGAACAGCCTACCCCAGCCTGGTGTCCTCCAGCTGTTTTGGACTCCCATCAACCCCACCCAGCATGGCCAGTGCTGAGGAATGGTGGGAATTACAGTCACTAACATCTGGAGAACACTGGGTTAAGGAGTACTAGCCTAGCACAAAGTTTTTCTCGCTTGCTTTCTGCTATCCAGGTTTTAGATCTCTGGATAAGTTTAATGCCCTGCCTTTTTTGACAGCTGCCAGGAAGATTGATGAGCTACAGCAGTCGTTGAAGAAGAAGGACGAAGACATGAGAGCCATGGAGGAGCGATACAAACGCTATATGGACAAGGCATGCACGGTAAGCAGGATCTTGCCACAGCGTTGTCCTTGTTTATATGCCTATGGAAATGTATTGGCAAAGTATTGCTATATGGCTTCGTAGATCACATGTTCTCACATGACCGGTCAGGAATGCTGCTTCAGGGCTTTCCTAGTGGTGAAATAGTCTGAGTTTCTAAACAGCCTAGTAATGCTGGAAATTGTCTCAACTGTTCCACAGGTCATCAAGAAGCTGGATCCCAAGCAGCAGCCTCATGTAGTTCCTCTGGAAATCCAGGCTTTGAAGAACCAGCTGCAGGAAAAGGATAAGAAAATAAGCCACTTAGAGGTGAGCTTCACTGCTACGTAGGACCAGGGGTCGCAGCCCCTCTCACACTTTGGGTGTCTCCTTGGGTGGGGTTTCGTAACCTCCTGTAACAAAGGGTCCCCTGTCCGATAAGTCAGAAGGCCTCCAGGCTTTTGGATAACCCAGTCAATTGGTACCCGGATGTGGCTGGCAGTGGATCATGCAGCACTTGAATCTGCTGTCCATGTGATCCCACTCTGGTCAGGCCATTTGGGGAACCCTGGAATGTGTGGCAGCCCCATATCTGATAGACTGTCTATCAGTTTTGAATCCTGAAATCTGCCCGATGGTTTCTGTAGTCTGAAACAGGTTTAGGACTGGTTGATCTGGGTAAATATATATACCAATCATGTCATTGAATGTAGCTGCTGAAATACTACTTGTGATTTTATAGTTCACATTTAGTAGGGGAACTAGTTTGAATGATTCTGTATAGCACAGATCCCTTCTATGGGAATTGGTAGTATTTTGGCCTGGTTCTAAGTATCTGGAATGACCCCCCCCCTTCAGTATGCAGTGGTTTAAACTGGGATGAGTAACATGTAACCCCACTGCCCTTCCCTGAAATAAAATGTAAAGCAAATATTTTTCAAGTTAAATTTGGCCTCTTTGGCACTCCATAGCCACTACAAATCACCAAAAGATTAAATTTAGCTTGTACAAAAAACAAACTTAACCTAGTGCTCTGTAGCTCTTATTTCCACTCTCTTTTTTCTTGCAGGCAGGCATCCTTTATACTGTTGCCTGTGGAGAAGGTCTAGGGCACAGAAATGACCCCCCAGACCTGAAGTTGCCCACCCCTGCTTTACAGCAAAATTTGGATAGAATTCGGTTTCTAAGACATCTAATTGGCTTTATTCTTCAATTATTGAATATAAGAGTGAATCTTCTCCCCTGTTAACTTTATCAGAGTTGACAATGCTCAGGAATAGATTTGGGTAGCTGAAACATTTCCAAAAATTCCTGAGATCCACTCTGGTAACAAGATTGGTAATACTTAAAGAATTTATTTTGCTGCTTCTATAACTTTAACTAGTAAGCCCGATTTTTTTCCCTTAATAAATGGGTTATATTCCATTCTTGCTTTTTCATATTAGACCGATTTTGAGAAGACAAAATCCCAACAAGAGCAAGAAGAAAAGCTGATCATCACTGCCTGGTATAATATGGTGAGTTCAAACTGGGCTTGACCTAAGTGTGGAGGAGAGGCTGGCACACTGCCAAGCAGCAGAGCTGGCAGAACCCGGACTGTGGGATGTTTGCGGCACTCTGGATAGCAGGGTGCAGGAACTGTACATTGGACAGACCTGCACACAGAGCTTGGTCTCAGAATTTAGCATCTTGACATTCCTTGCTGTTACTGTAGTTAGAAGTCTGTACCTACCTTGGCAGCCACTGGGATCTTTTGAATGAAATATCTGAAGCCAGAAGGGGGCATCAAAGGATTTCCCGGTGTGGGGAAGCAGGACGTGTACAGACAACATGCTTTCTGTCTTCTGAGTGTAGTGAAAATAGACTTAGCATGTGCACTTAATCTTTTGCTGTAACACACTACACTTGATCCTAGCTAAAGTGGCTTGAGTGGCACAAAACAGTGCAGGCTGTTACATGGCTGGAACTGCAAAACATGACCACTTCTAATGTAGGGCTTTTGTGCCTGGATCCAGATCTCTTCTTATGCCAGCAAAAGGGTAAGATATTTGCATCTTCTCCTTTCCCTGGTGTCCTGGAGTGCAACTTTTAAATCTGCTCCAGAGGGTATCCCAAACTCTCAAGCAGATTTAGCGGGCACATCAGCAGCTGCAGTGGGGAAGAGAGGACAGTGCTGCGAGACGTGCCCTTCCACTGGCAGGAGGAGCAGTTTGGATCTAATCAGACAACTTCCAGCAGAGGGTGCATTCGGTCCTGCTCAAAGCCACATGGAGAAACAGTTCTGAAGAACTGTCATCCAAGGGTCTGATGACGGAAGTGAGAACCTTCCTTTTCTCCTGCTTGCAGGGCCTGGCATTGCACCAACGAGCTACAGAAGACCGATCCTCCACCCCTCCGACTGTCCAGTCCTTCTTGGCCCAGCAAAGATTGGCCACCAGTGCTCGACGGGGCCACCTGAGCCGAGCTCAGCCCTTGCTGCTTCGCTACATTGGTGCGGACAAGCCTTCTCAATTATCGTGATCTGAGAAAGTGTATGCGCTGGAGGCAATGTTTCCGAAGGGAGTGGAAACTGTGCTTCTGTTTCCCGTGCAATGGTACTTATTTGGCAACTCCAGTTTCCATTCACACTATTGAAACTCTCTGCTGTTCAGGATTCCTCCTAAGTGGAGGACGAGCACTTTTGTTTCTAAAACGGAAAGCATCTTTAGCAACAAAGAGCTCAGTTTACCTGCATATTCCCCCTCCCACCACAGCTGGCGACTGTTACAAGCAGGGTGACGAGGAGGCATCCTTTGCTGCCCCTCTTGATCCCCCCTCTTAAATTCTGGTTTTGTACGTGGCTTCTGGTTGCCCGTGTTACTGCCATTTTTGAAACACGCGTTTCCCAGGGATCCCACCTGCACAGGGTACAGAGAGGACATTTTCTGTTCATGGTAGTTCTGATTTTCCCTGCCGGACAAGTGGGGATAGCAGAGCCTCTCCAGGTGTGTTTTGGGGACGAAGGCTTCTCTGATCTTGGTCCATGAGCTGAATGACTCCTTTTGAAACCTGAGATGTGCCCTCCAAACACTGGGCTGTAGTTCTGGTCATGTCTCACCAATGGCTGTGCCTGGTGGAGTCGATGGAAATTGGAGTACATCCACTATGGGAGAACCACAGGTTGCCCACCTCTGCTTCCACGGATAATGCCCACCTGCTCGAACTAGCTCCCCCCACCCTACCCACACTACGGTGCCCGAGGCACATTGGACAGAGCTTTGCTTAGTGGCTTATCACTCCCTTCTAAGAAGGGACTGGGCCTTGGCACAAAAACCAGGAACATTTTAAACTATGAACATGAATTGGGCTCTAGATTTAGGTGGGTGAGGAGAGCTGGTGGTCCTGCCCATCGATAGCTTCTGTGCACACCTTTAACTGTTCTGTCCTTACAGCAATATTTAGAGTGCGGTGCTTTTTTCAAAATGGTGTTACTCTGTCTCTCCTGCTAGTCTTTCCTTCTTGGATCATATTCCCATTCTGGGAGGATTTGTAAGATGTGGTGTCCTTTTAAAATTTGTTCTTTAAAGTTTGATTTTTTATTTTAGTAAAGGTCATAGTTTTAATGCTGTAAATGATATACTTTGTAAAGCTCTCTTGTTCATCCAGGTCGGTACCTCTGCCTCTTTATTTTTCTATTGGACAGAAACCTGGCATACAGTGATGTAGCAGGGTATGTCTTACACTACAAATAAAAAGGCCATTAAATCTTTTATGTTGCATCCTTCCTCTGCTAGTGATCACTGCACTTTTGGGCAACCTTACTCTTTGGAGGGTAATTGATACCAGTTTCTTGCACTGCCTTTAATGGGGAAGGTGCTGTTCAGTCATGTAATTATTTTGAGGTGGGTTTTCTATCCTATCTTCTTGTAGGTTTAATAAATCAGCTGTGCACATCTCTGTTGAGCCTGGAAAGGGTTGATTTTTTGGCATTTCGTGCTGCTTCAGAAACTGACACATTGTGCTACCAGAAGTTCAAACTCAAGGTGCTTGCTAAATTTTTCCCTGATAGGCACAATGCTGTTTCTGAGTTTACTATTGGTACTTCCCTGAGGCTGGCACAAGTGGTAAATGGTTGCTCAGAGTCATGCATCCCTTAGAGCAACAACACAGGAGCTACACAAGAGTTGCATTCACTGTCCTTGGCAAGGAGTGGCTCTGTAGGTAGAGGTTCTGCTAGAGCAGATGCTTACGGCCTTGGAAAACCGTGTGTTAAGCATTGCTCCTAGCTACATACATCCATTAGGACTGCTCGCTTTTCTAAAGAATGAAGTCTAATGCAACACTGCTACTCAGTTGCTCCCTGCAGTACATACCAATGGCTCCAAGCATCTAATAGGCTGTATGAAACAAACGGGCCCAGTGCACAAGCTAGTTTTCTTGGAACACAAAAACCAAGAATAGTATAGAGAAGAATAGTAGCACTTACTGAAGAGAAAATCAAGCAGCTTTTCTGATATAAAATGAACTGAGCAAGCTAAAACAGTAACAACATTCGTCAACTGTACAATACTGTCCCCCAAAAGGATCCAGACATTTTTCATAAGGGACATGTTTGTTTCCTGCTGTACACCGGGGAAACAAAAGCTGGAGAATGAGATTTCATTTCATGTCCAGTTAATAGGCTGCCTATAGGAGACTTGTTTCAATCCTGAGCAGTTGAATTGGCAGCTTTTGTTCTCTCAAAGGAACAGTTTTAAATTTGTGTCCTTAACTGAGCAAGTTGCAGGTCATAACTTAATTTGGGTAGCAGAGTGTTTTCAGTAATCCCATGTAAGGCCTAACTTGCTACTGTTACTCCACTGACTTTCTCCTTTTTGAAATAAAACAAAGTTGAGATATGTTAACCAGTGACAATTAGACTAATTTCTGGGAGAGGCTGGACAAGTTTTAAGGAGCAGAGTACAAGGTTAATTCAGATTATGTAAACGGATTATGTAATTGGAAACAGGTGGAGAAGCTGTATTCTTGCTGTCAAAACAAGACCAGGAGCAGACTGTGGTAGAGACCATCAGCTCTTAGTTTCAAAAATCAGAGTCAAGCTAGAAAAGATAATCAGCAGAAACATAGTGCCAAAATATAACTTATGCAACATCCCTGAAGAATTTAAAGTCCACATAAAGAACAGATTTGCATTGCTCAATTTAACTGACTGTGAGCCAGAAGAACTGTGGACTAAAACCAGAGACAGAATTCCAAACAATGATTCCTGTAGCAAAAGGAAAGAAAAGGCCTATATGGATGACAAAAGAAATACTCGTTTTGGCAAAGGACAGATGAGAAAAGCAAAAAACAAAAGAAATAAGGTCAGAATTCTGAATGCAACTTTTGAGCAACTATCATATAGAGATAAAACAAGTATTACAAAGATGAGTGCAAATAAATAGAAGAGTGCAGCAAAAAGAAAAAAATGAGACCTTCCAGAAGATCCAAGAAAACAAAGGCAAATTCAAACCTAGATTAGGAATGTTTAAAGGCAAACAAAGGAGCATACTATCCAACCAGGAGAAAATAAGGAAAAGGTGGAAAGAATATACAGAGGAATTGCACAGAAAATATGAAAGGATGACATACCTCTTTGAAGAAGGGCCTGCTGTATTAGCACGGTGAAAGCTGCTCTGAAAACATTTGCAAAGAATAAAGTTCTGGACTAGACAGGTTACCAATAGAACTGTTCCAAGCTGGAGAAAATGAGTTGGTCCAAATCCTAATAAAAATATGTCAGCAAAGATGGAAAACAAAACAATGGTCCACAGACAAGGAAAGAGATACAAAAGAGTGCAGCAGACATGGGACCATTGCATTAATCTCTCAAACAAGCGAAGTGACGCTTAAAGTGTCGCAACAAAGAATACTACTCTACATGGAGTGGAAAATGCTGGGCATCCAAGCTGGTTTCTGCACAGGAATCACTTTGTAAATATATGTTGGCTACTGGAGTGCACCAAAGAATTTCAGAAAAGATCTTTCTATGCTTTATAGACTACAGCAGAGCCTTTGACGTTTAGATCATGAGAAGCAATGGATGGTCCTGAAAGAAAAGGGGTCTCTCAGCACTTGATTGTCCTAAACTACAGTTTGTACCAAATATGGAGAAACAGAATAGTTTCTCATAGGTAAAGGTGTCAGAGAAGGGTGTATTTTGATCTCTCTATCTGTTCAGTCTGTACACAGAACCTATCATAAGAAAAGCTTGATTAGAATCGAAGGAGTAAAAACTGGTGGAAGAAACTTCACTATTGTAAAATATGCAGATGATACAATACTACTGGCAGAAAGCAGTAGTGACTTGAAACAACATTTCATAAAACTGAAAGAAGAAAGTGCAAAAGCAGGTCGGCGGCTGAATATCAAGAAAACAAAAATCAGGTCCACAAAGAACTTTACAGTTAATAATGAAGAAACTGAAATTGTGAAAGAGTACCTTGGTTCAGTCATCAATTCAAAGGGACACTGCAGCCAAGAAATTCAAAGAAGACAGACTTGCTTGGAAGGGCAGCAATGAAAGAACAGAATCATCAGGTGTTAAGGACGTTTTACTGGAGACTAAGTTCATTATCATCCAAACTATTGTGTTCCCAATCACAATCTATTGGTGTGAAACCTGGACAGTAAAGAAAGCTGACAGAAGGAAAATGTATGCGGTCGAAACAGTGCTGGAGGACAGCTTTGTGAGTACCCTCGACTGACAGAAAGACAAGTAGGCATGTTGTGAATGGAGCCGGCTGGAGTCAGGGGTCAGACTAGGTGGTCCAGGAGGCCCCTTCTGACTCACTATGTTTCTATGTTAAGTGGGTCCCAGATCAAATCAAAGTATGAGCTTTCCCTAGAAGCAAAAATGACAAAACAGACTGCCATAGTTTGGACACATCAGGAGAAGGCAAGGCTCAATGGAGGCGGCAAGTGTGCTAGGCAAAGTCAAAGGCAGAGGACTAAATCGCGAGACGGGTTGAATCCATAAAGGAAGCCACAGCCTTCAGCTTGGAAGAGCTGAATGAGCTGTCATGGACAGGACATTTTGGAGGGCTTTCATTCATAGGAATTAGCATAGATCAAAGACGACCTGAGAACAGAAGTAATTTCAACAAGGCTAGGATAAATTCATTTTGACCAGCAGATGGCAGTCTTGAGCTAAATTAAAATAGGGTCATCTCTAATTACGGAGACTGTGATTGATTTCCCAGCAAAGACAACTTAATATAGTGCACTGTTACTAAAACCAGCTTGTGTTTGAGTTCATTGTCTATGTACTATATTTGACTAGCACAGGAATTAAATGCAAAGCAGTAACACCACGTTTTCTTCAGAAAAGAGGGAAGCCCAATATCAGTGTAGCTACTAATGGTAAGCCGTTAGGTGGTAGGGACCTTTGAGGTCATCTAGGCACCTGCCTGCTCAATGCAGTTCATCTTTCCGGTTACATCATATCTGAAAGAGAGCCATCAAGGCTCTGTTTCAATACTTCTAGCTCAAGAGTTATTACAGTTAAAACTTTGCTTATGTTTAGCTAAAGCGAGCTTCTTTGCAATTTCCACATATTCTAGTTCTGCAGCCTTTCAGATATGTGAAAACCACTATCTGCTCTCATCTGATTTTTTCACTTCTGCGGGATAAACATGCCCAGCTCTTTCGATCATTCTTCACGGGTCCTTTTTCAAACCCAACACTACCCTGGTTGCTGCCCTCTGGGCATGCTCCAGTAGAGTTTTCTCCAGCTTTGTGCCTGCCAGTTATTTTGGATTACAACTCCCATAAAACAATTGGAGCTGATGGGTTTGTAGTCCCAAACATCTGGTGCGGAAGGCTAATCAAGAATGAACAAGAATGTTGGTCTTTGAAAAAGGAACACTGGCGTTGTTTCTTCTACAATATACAGGAGATGGAATTGGACGGAGATAGTTTTTTCTCTTTCCCATATTGCTGAAACTCAAGAGTCACCCATTGAAATGGATAAGCAATAGGTTCAGTTCAATAAAAAAGAAAGTAATAATCCACACAATATGTGAATTCACTGCCACAAGATGGAGTGATCATTGTTGGCTTTGCTGGCTTTGAAAGGGATTAGACAAAGAGGTCAAAGAGTGGAGGAGAGCACCAGCAGAGGGTTGCTGCTTTCACTTTCTGCATGTGTGAGCTTCCTGGATGCTGATCCAGATGAGGCATTGATCTGACCCAGAAAAGTTAATTTTGGCTTGGAGGAATTCACTGCTGGCCACAGAGAGCACTGCTGACAGTCTATATTTTTAGATTGGTGTCCAATATATGGAATGGCTTGAAAAATAGCATCGTGTTAACACACACTTCCACAAATTCTACTCTATACAAAATACTAGTTAATAAAATATTACAAAGGCACAGTTTTAAAACAAGTTCAACCCATATGGAGGGTAAGAAGGAAGCTCCAGCGAGGTCACCTGTATCTTCTTCCTTTTCCTCTCTCTGCTTCATCATCCAGTGCCTGCATGAGAGAGAAGGATGAGATGCCACAGCTGACTTTGGGACAGAAGGGTACTGGTGGGGCAGATCAGTGTCCATGTTCCCCTTCCTGCATTCATCTCGAGTGTCTGTAGATATAAGTCAAAAACAAGCAAAAGATGGTATGTTTGGTCACGAGTGGGAAGGGGGACTGATTAACCCCCTCTTCGTGAGGTAGCAACATACCAGCAAAGGCCAGGTATCTGCCAGGAGAAGTGCCTCTCTTTCCAAGCAAAAATGTTTTCCCAACGGCACAAATCAAGATTAATTCATTTTTAAGTCACCAGCTAAAACTTCCCTGACCCCCAGTCCATGAAGGCTGTTCCATTTGTCTAATTTCTGCTGTCCTTCAGCTACAAGGCCCGCATTCAACTGAACTGCTGTGATAGGCCACTGTTTGCAAGCGCTCCATTCCAACCCATGGAGGCCAAAATACAAGTTCATGCCACATTTTCCTCCTCAATGGGGCTTTGTAACCAGTGGGGGTAGCTGGCTGGTGGAAGCACCCCCTTGCCAGGAGCTTCCTTTGGGCTGTGAAAGGAGGAGGCATCTGAAGAGCCATGCTCTAGGAGAGGCTGTGACAAGTCACTCGCTGCTTCGGGAAGAGACATGTCCACGAGGGGCATTGCATCTTGAGGGTTGGCCGCAGCACACTCCTGGTCTAGCCTATTCTGAGGTGGGTCAGCCAGTCCGTCAGCCTGGGCCTCAGAGGGATCGGTGTGTGTGTCATGGCCAGCAACTTCATCGTCGTTTTCCACCTCCCCTTCACAGCTGATGTGAACATTGTTGGGCAAATGCAGCCCGGGAGGCCCACAAGAACAGTCAGCCGCCTGGGTGTCCTGGCAGAGGCAACTGTAGGTGGTGGATGCTTCAGAAACACAGCTGTTTTTGCGCCTCAGCAAGGACAGTCGGCGCCCGAACCCACTGGGGGCCGGGGCTGTGGAAAGCAGCCGGTTCAAGAGGTGGGCGGGCACGTGGCGACTGTGTTCGAGGCCCTCCGCAATCTCCTCAAGCGGCTGGAACTGCATGTCTTCCTTGGGCAGGCTGCAAACAGAAGGCATAATGTTACAGACTGCGTGTATGGAATGGGCTTCCCCGGGAGGTGGCTGAGGCCCCATCGGTGAGGGTGTTCAAGGAGAGGCTGGACATGCACATGGTGGGCATGTCGTGAGCAGAGCCGGCTGGAGCTGGGGGTCAGACTAGAAGGCCTGGGAGGCCCCTTCTGGCTCACTCTGTTTCTATGTTTCAGTTCCCACTAGTTGCACGAGGGTTCACTGGACAGGGATCTTCCACGCTGCCCTCACACACCAGCACCTTAAGACTCTCTGGGCTAGGACGGCATGGTGGTTCTGTGGGAGCCTGCAGGGCTCGCCAGCAGAGGCCTTCATTGGCCTGGAGAGAAAAGTGGCAGCTCCCAGACAGGGGCAGGCAGTTTGCGGCTGCCCCCCCCCCCCCGCCACCATGGTTTGGCCTACAGTTTTCATCCAGCAACATAGCCAGTGGGGAGGGATCACAGGAGTTGTAGGCCAACAACATGTGGAGGAGCACACGTTCTCCCCGCAAATGAAAAAGTGAGGCCAAAAAGGAGAAAAAAGGCTCAGCTTTCAACAGCTCCAGGGTGCACCCTTTTCCTCTTCTACCAAGTTAGAAAAACTCTGTTCCCCTTTTCTGCTCCATAACATGCAAAAACCTTACGTCATATCAAAAGTGGAGCCCTGGAATGACGGCTGTTGCAGCATGAAAACCGTAGCTGCTGTGTACGGAGCGCGAGGGTTTGAGGCGTCCCAGTAGCGATCCTTCTCCAGGAGAGGCAGGTCCCCATACATCTCATCCACAGCCATCATGGAAACCTACAGGGGAAGGAGGAGTGCCGGAGGATACTGGTTGGGCAGCACAGAGCAGGAAGCCAGAGACGCAGAGTGCCCACATATCCTTGGAGGGATATGGGAATCTGGAATTTAGGAACGGTTCTTAGATTTGCCATTATGGGATGCTGGAAATCATCCTAAATATAGAAAGGCAAAACTAATCTCTTTCAAAAAGCGCTGCATGTAATCCTGAGTAGAAAAGGGGAGGGAAGAATTACCTGGAAATTCCTGTCGATCAGCAAATTGGTTTCAAAGTCGTCGTCATCCTCCCCGAAAGGGTTGATGAGCTGCTCAGCGACCTGCAGGGTGCGCAGATCCACAGTAAGAGGGACCCCCACCTGGCAAGCTCTGTGACCAGCTCCACATTCAGCGTGGCAAGGCGAAGCACACTCGGCCCCTCTTCCGACCTCCCGCAGGCCCCCATCCTTCGCTCCACTGACCCTTCCTCTCTCCCCAAGTGCTTCCTTGCCACAGAAGATGCCCTCTTGACAGACCTCACACCTGCCCTACCTTAAGCCATCCAACATAGAAGAAGAACTGAAGCAGTGTGAAAACAGGGACCCACAGATCCAGGTCATGTCCTTTATAACCCTGGGCTGGGTCAAGGAACTGCCGCCCAATGAGACAAGAAACGAAGAAACTGTACACAGCAATAGTAACCACCTGTCATGGGCAGGACAAGAAGCAGAGAAACAGGCCGATGTATTAGACACAGAATCTCAAAGCCCCGGTTTCTTGACCTTACTTAGATCATATGGATTAACCACTCAGGCTCTCTCTGTTCCTCTATGATTGGGCCCCTAATAATTATTGGTTGCTAAGGAATAATAGTGGAAGAGCTTCTAATGCATGTTTATATGGGTAATGATAAATATATTAATACTTATAGATACATACACGAGATCACAGCCTTTCAGTTTTGATTAATAAATAAGAAACAGTGCACCCCTTCTATGCTTTCTTCCTGACTTGCATTAGAACCATGACTCCCTACCCAAAAATGTTCCAAGAGCTGAACCAATGCATGTTGATCTCTTCTTAGTATGCTGTCCTATGGCCTTCCAACATCCTCTGGGAGGCCATAGGATTCTTCCGAGTCCCAGTGACCTCAGAGCTGGGATTTCAAATGCCAGGACTCCACCCTGCCCCTTCATAGCCAGCACGAAAAGAAGCATGCACACTGCTCCCTCAAGATCTCATCTGGGCCTCAGAGAGAGAAAAGAGGTATGCTTGGGCATCAGGAAGGGAAGCCTTACTCCAATTTCAGTCAGCCCTGCATCTTCCTTTCCTCCTCACTCCTGGTACTAAATTGACACAGTCAAAAATGGCTGTCCGGAGAAAACGCCCAGCACAAAGTGTGCCAGGCTCAGGATACAGCAAGTGTCCAAGTTCAGAGGTTTACATACATTGAGGCAATGGACACAGGATTACAATCTCCATCGACCTAGTTGGGTATAGAAAAAGGCACTCAGTGTGTTGAGGGTATTTAATTTACCTCAAGTGGTCCAAACAACATTCTGTGTTAGTAATTTGAAGCAAATGACTAAAGGGTGGCAGCCATTTGGGATTATGCTAAAGCAGCAGTGGGGGAAAAGGTAGCCCTCCAGATGTTGTCAACCTCTGACTCGCCAGCACAGCCAATGGTGAGGGAGCATGGGAGTTGCAGCTCAGCAAAATCTGAAGGGTCCCACATTCCCCATCTTGCACCCAAAGCATGAGCTCTTCAACTGCTGTTTAGAACTGTGGTAGACACAAGGCAGCTCTCCAAAAGCCTGAGACTTCCTCTTCCAGAAGGCCCTCTAGGTATGACTTGATCTCTGGCAGACACACTAATGTGCCAGTGACCTCAGCCACCGCAGAGCTTCGGTGATAGCAATGTTTGTTTGTTTGTTTGTTTGTTTATTTAAAGCATTTTTATGCCGCCCCCTTTGCAACAAGCCTCTGGGCGGCTTACAACACAAATAAACAAATATTGAATAAAGTTTAAAAATCTGGATACTTCTCGGCAGGTGTATAATAAATAAATAACAACAACAATTAACAGTTAAAATATCGTTTAAATAAAAAGGTCTTGGCCTGGTGCCGAAAAACAAATAACGACGGTGCCAGGCGGACCGCTCTGGAGAGCGCATTCCATTGGTAGGGCATCACCGCAGAGAAGGCCCTCCTTCGGGTACTCGCCCTCCTAATATCTTTCATGGAGGGCTCCTGGAGAAGGGCCTCCGCCGCCCGATCTCAGGGGGCAGGAGGGCATATATGGACGCAAGCGCTCTTTTAGATAACCAGGCACCAAGCCATTAAGGGCTTTATAGGTGATAACCAACACCTTGAATATTATCCAAGAGCTTAGTTTCCTGGCACAGAATGTGAGATGTGATTGTGGGTTCATTATCATGGTAGCTGCAAGTTTCATGTAAATAAATTTAAACTGTTCAAATGCTGTCCACTTCATTTCATGGCCAGCTTCAACTATTTGCTTGCTTGCTTTAAAATCGTATGCTACCTTTTAAAGCCTAAGGCTCCTCATATCAAAACCTTGCAATAATGCTACACCCATTTTTATACATCAGGGGAACATCCAACATGAAACAGCAGCAGTTAAACACAATACAGAGAATCATATATATTAATTAAAAGCAGCTTGAAATAAAAAGGCCTTTAAGGTCTGCTTATAATTCAGTAGAGTATGGGCCATACCTCCCACCCCAAGAGTTGAATTTCACAGATAAAGGGTTACTACACAAAAGGCCCTGTCTCTAGTAACTACTAATCTGGGAGCCAGTGGAGTGGTTGGAGAGTTGAACTGGGGTTCAGGAGATCCTAGTCCTGGCTTATCCACAAAGCTCACTGGTGGACTTGAAGCCAGTCACTGACTCTCAGCCTAAGCTACTTCAGTGGGTTGTTGTAAGAATGAAATTAAGAGAAAGAAGAGGATTAATGTAGGTGCTGGGGCATAAATACAGTTCATAAATAGTCTGATAGATTTCTTCTGATTTCTACCCTATGCACAATTATGTGTTTAGAAAGAATAGTTTCAGAGTGCTTAACCCATCTCTCACCTACTGATTTTTTTTCCTGCAAATGCATCCCCTGTCTTTAATAAACAATTTTATCCCCAAATGGACTCTGAACCCCAAGTTGGCCTGATGAGGAAGTGGTGGGGCATTTACATAAGACCAATTTTGGGTGAAACGGGGTTAAAACACCCCTCCCATCCATCCAGTTGCAAGCATCCCCTTCCCTAATTTTTTCACGTAATGGGCTGGGGAGCAGTTGCAGTATCTAGAAGCCCTGGGAAACAAGAAAAAGGACAAAATGGTTCAGCAGAAGTTTCCACACAGCTTTCCATCAGGCCAGGCTGTCTGGGGAGAACACAGAAATCAGAAGGTGGTCACAGCCCCGTTCTCAAGTGGAGCACGTCGAGCTTGCCATGTGCTTCGGGTCCTTCACTCACCTGTGTGTAGACCAGTGGGACACTGATCCAGTCATAGTGGTAGAGCATGCTGCACTTCCCCCGGAAGAGATTCAGCTCCTGAGGTGGGAGAGAATAGCCACTGCTAAGCAGGTGCTACGCAAAAGAACCTGCATCTGGCTAAAGTTTTTGAGACCAGTTTTCACAGAGGACACAGACGGAGGTTTATCTGCTCCAGGGAAATGGTGTTCAGTCTACTTGATCCCTCCAAAGGATCAAGTTCATAGGTTTGAGGCACTTTTAGATCCATGTTTACTACTGGATCTACATCCTTTCTCTTGAGGGGCTTTCTAGTCCAAGTCCAGGATAAAAAGAAAGAAAAACCACTGGAGCCAGGACAGGAGATGCCCAGAAATTCCAAGCTGCACTTCGCATCTGGAGAGCAGGCTGAGTAGACAAGCAATCTTCCCCCACTATGGTGAGCTACACTGCATTTCTGTGTACAGCAAGTTATAGCGATTCTTCCTGAATGCTACATTTTATGCACAGTGATGTCCTCTTTTGTGGTGATGCATTGGTGGTGATGAAGATGAGCCCTCTTCTTTGGAGATGTGTAAATGGCCATCTAAGTGGGCTTCAGGCCTGGTTTTGCTTTCACATTCTTCCCAAAAGTTCAGGGAAGGGACCCTATTGATTCTCCTGGACCCCTCGGCAGCTTTTGCTTCCACTGGCCATGATATCCTTTGTGTAGACTCTCAGAGGGTGTTTGTGTGGTTCTGCACATACTTGCAGGGCCAGTTCCAGGAGGTAGTGCTGGGTGACTGTGGCTTTGTCCCATGACTGTGGGATCTTTACAAGAACCCATTCTGTCCCCCATGCTGTTCAACATGGCAGAGCAGCTTTCCTCAAACCGATGGCCTCAAGATATTTGGGACACTTTTCCCGTCATTGTTGAGCATTGGCTATGCTGGCTGGGGCTGATCCAGTAGTCCAAAACATCTGGAAGGCACCATGTCAGGGAACACTGAGTTATATAAAGCCACAGGGAGAAGTCATCTGAGGATCTGGGGTGAGGCTCAGTCTGTATGCAGACAATGCCCAACTCTGTTTCTCATTTTCCTCTGAGTCAGTAAGGTGGTAAAAGAACTGAACTGATGTCTGGCATTTACTGACATGAACCAATACACTGAAATATAATCCACAAAAGACGGCAATGGGAGGTTTATCTGCTCCAGGGAAATGGTGTTCAGTCTACTTGATCCCTCCAAAGGATCAAGTTCATAGGTTTGAGGCACTTTTAGATCCATGTTTACTACTGGATCAAGCACCTTTGTTCAGCTCAGGCTGGTGAACCAGCTGCATCCTTTCCGGGACAGTGAGAGACTGGCATGGTTTGTTTTCTTGGGCCCTGGTTGTGTTTCCTTGCACCTTCAGCCACTCCTTCCTGCATCCCAAAGCGATTTGTAGCACTGTAGAACTGGCATGTCAAGAGGCTGTGCTGGGTTTAAAAAAAATGTTTCTCCCAGCTGTCCTGTAGCCTGGCAAAACAACTGAGACCAGCCCATGATTGTGGGTTTGCCCATAACAACCATGCATGGCTTAAACCCCTTACAGAACGGAACCCAAAAGCAAGCTATGTCTTCTCTTCACGGGTTGTCTGTGGTTAACAACTTGTAGTTCTGGATTCACATATAATGAGAGTCTTAATGAAACAAGTCCTAGTTAATTAAACTATGGGTTGTCATTATGTGTGAATCATTACATTGTTTTTTGCCTTCATTGTGTGGGTGGGAGAGTGAGGGGTTCAGGGGATTTGAAGAGGGATTCCCACTTCATTAAACTGATCTAGTAAATACGAGATATTCCCCACAAGTAGTTTCTGGGAGGGGAAAGAGGATCCCCCTGTCCTATAGTTACAGCTCTCTTCAGCTTTTGTGTGCCTTGTGCTGTGCTTTGAGGACGAACATACTTAGGATCATGTTAGTTCAATGGTGTGAGATCAAACATGACTTGATTAACAAAGGAAGGAACAGCACTGCAGACCTTGTTCCTAACAGGACAATGTGAACATTGAATACCACACTCCCTTGAAAAACTAAAGGAATAACCAAAAATACGCAGAAGGAAGAGGAAGGGTGGGGAGGGAGAAGAGAAAGCGAAACCACATTTGATCATGCAAGATCCCACCTGGCCGCCACTGCTGTGGACAGGATATAGTGAACTGACGGGGGCAGGGGGACCTTTAAAAAATAGAAATCTATTTACTGTGTGGATCATAATTCCCAAAACCCTTAGCAACAAAATCAGGAAAACAACCAGCAGTGCCAGCCAGAAGTCTTATGTCTGGAAGCACCCTAACTGGGACTAGGTGTTGGGATCACAGAACACCAGTGTTTCTCTGTCCATTTCAAGGCACAGTACAAGGTTTTGGTATTGATCTTCAAAACCCGGCATGGCTTGGGACTGGAAGGAAAGCCTGCTCCCACATTCAGCTGCTCGGCTGCTGAGCATCTCTTCCAGATGTACTTGTCACCTCAGGTGGGCAGAAAGTGTCCCTTCAGTAGTTCAAAGCCATCTGAGCAATTCTCCCCCCAAGACAGGTTCACCTAAATAGCAGAGACCTCTTAGGCTCAAGTCAGATTTCCCACTATTTTAATTTACTGCTGCTCTTATCTTTTTCTATCCCCTGCTTTTATTCATATTTTATGTCATTTTATAGCTATGTAACTTATCGACAGCTGCCCTGGATACCAGCTGGTTGCATGAACAAGCAGCATTTCTGGGAACCTGAGAATGCTAAAAGCGAAGCCCCCTCTGCAGGTTCATACCCATTAACTTGTCATGGCTTCCCTACAGAATCCTAGGAGTCGCAGCCTCTTGAGGACACCCCACCAGAACTCCAGCTCCCATCATTTCACAGGGAGGAAAGAACACTATTAAACCAGTCTGAGCCTATAGTCCAAGCAAAAGAATTCGCAACTGCACCTCCATCAGCAGCTTCAGAGCAGAGTTATCCCGTATGCGGCCTTCTTTGCGTGCCTGTGCAGCTAAGTTGGTAAACCAAACGCAGGGGATCCAGTATCTGTTGTAGGAAGTGTTAAAGTTCTCGAATTTCTTGCGCTCCTCCCGGGTCATGAAACCTGAAAGCGGAGACGGCGAAATGGCTGTGACGTACAGCCGCCCTGAGGCAGCTGGCATTTTCTTCTACTAGGTCCAGTCTTACATTCTCGTTACATTTACCCAAAATGACTGTGGCGTACCCAGAACACCTTTCCTCAAGCTGGCATCCTCCAGATGTGTTGGGTCGTACTCCAATAGCCATCGTTCTGGCCGAGGCTGTTGGGGATGGCAATCCAACACATCTGGAGGGAGGCAGCTTGAGGAAGGCTGTGCTAGATTGCCACCTTTGCTCAGTGGGAGGAAAACCGTCCGTGCCTTGCACTCACCTGCCTCCACGACATGGTCCATGGTGGGGAAGCGCTTGAAGACCGCGGTGCTGACCGAGCGAAGGATCAGCACAGCGGAAAGGCTGCAGTAGCGCATGAGCGTCCGTCGGTAAAGCCGCCCCTTCTCGTCAGTCCCGTGCACATTCCCAGAGATGGCGCACATCAGGCGGTCCGGCATTGGCATGCTGGTGTACTGGCTCCACCAGCGGTTCACCACCAGCGTCACGTAGAAGCCTGAATGAGCCCAGGAGACGGGAGGGTTACATCGGCACGCGGTCCCCATCCCTCCGTTAGGCCGTCTTGCTCACAGTGTAAGCCTGAAGGCATAACTGGAACCAGGGCCAAGGGTTAGAACATGTTCGGAAAGCAATTTCAGTCCTGGAAACACACGGTTGCAAAAATGAAGGGCCTGCAACAGAATGGTGCAGTACGGATGGTTTCTGTTCAGTTTTTCAGCCACTCCATTTCCTTCCCCCTCCACAATGATGTTCCACCCCCCACCCCCCATCAGCCACTGAACATACTAGGCCCTCATTGGGCAGTTAGGCATCCCTCCAAATCAACTTTTTTGGTGGGTCGCTTCAGCAAGTCTTCTGATATCTCCCTTTTTTGAACGAATGATGCCATTTTGGCTACCAAAGCTCAGAGAGCCGGGTCCACTATTAAGATATGCAATATTTTTCTGAGCATTTGCAGAGTGCCTCCCCCTCATTTTTGCACACACTTAATCAAAACCTGTATGTTTGGGTCAGGGAGACAGGGCTTCCTGGGCTGGTTGGCTCACTTTTGGGAAGGTTAGAGCCCTAGCAACCCTTTCCATGAGCACTGGCATACACAGGTGCTCCAGGTGCTACCCATTTTCCAGCTGGAACTATTAAGAGTCCATAGCATCTTCTATTGTGCCATTGCCTTAAGAGATTAGGTAAGTCAAAAGCAAATCCGGACCAGGAGCATTTCTTGCTACTGAGCTTTACAAGATTACCTTGCATTGCCCTCCAACTGAGCAGCAAAGGACAAGCAAGACCTTGGATTAGATATCTCAGATGAAGAGACCACTCCAGCAACCAAGGGGCTGCGATGGGAAAAACATACAGCCACACAGCACGAGGGCTGCAGATTCAAATGTCTCACCCAGGACAAAGGAGACTGGGATGAGGTTGGCATAGTTGTCGCAGTAGATGACCACCTTTTCGAAGATTCGTTTCCGATCCTCAGTCAAGACAAAGCTAGAGGTGGGGAGAAGAAGAAGAAGCAAGATTGAGGAGGAGGAGGAGGAGGTTAATTTGGCACAGGCTGGCAGCCATGGCTGCAACAATATCCGTCTGTTTGCATTCTTGCAAGGGGAGAGCCCAGTGCAGTCTGAAAGGCAAGTGTGGGCTGGCCATTGGAAGCAAAGGCTGCTTTAAACAATACCGTGAAACGGGAGAGCAGTCTTGGAGCGCCTCCACGCATCAGAGCAGCCTTCTTGAACCTGGCCACCTCTAGATGTGTTGGAGAACAACCGCAGAATGGCTGGGGGATTCTGGGAGTTATAGTTCAACACTTTATGGTGGGGGGAGGGGGCAGGACCACATTGGGAAAGGCTGCATCCAAGTGCCAGAAACAGCCTAATGCTGGTAGCTGAGGTCGGCCGTGCATACACTACAAAGAGCTAGATGGAGTCTTGCAGAGGGATGGGTGTGTATTCCACCCACTTGTCTGTTAGAAGCGAGTTGTGTACATAACAAGACGCTTGGCAACCTGGGAGCTCATCTGAGGGCAATTCAGAGGTGCTCATCTTGGGAAAGCCTTCTCAGTCATCAGGAGAGCAAAGTACACACCATTATGTAAAAAGGTGCTTCTAGGTAGAGGACTCCTACTAGTGCTAGTAATTCAAAGGCATCAGGTCATTATTGCATCTTTTTAAAGCAGGTTTTCTGCAATAAGAAGAAGATGGAAGAAGAAATGAAGAAACCTGAAACCTGGGAGGGCTACAGATTCTGCAAGTGAGGCAGGGTAATTGCATGGATTTTCTACAGTATAAAAAAGATGGAAGAAGCAGTGGAGAACACCGCTGCAAGTGGAAGAAGATGATGGCCAGTCCCCCATAAAATGCAAATTAGGCAGGGTAACTACACACAACCTTGCCTAGAAGTACCCAGAACCGCAGTAAGTCCTGCATTGGTCACCATCATGTTCTGGAGTTAAAAACTGGGCCAAAGCAACTTGAACCCCGGGCGGAGAAACAAGGAGGATCTGTCCTCATGATGACTTGCATTCCTCTGGTCCAGGTTCTAACGTGGCACAGCTGAACAGAGAGTAGGCGTACACGTGTGCACACAGGGCTCCCCTGGGTGGAGGCAACGGCGTGTGTGTGCATGCGCACTTTCGACCCCATTCACTTAAACAGGTTCTGACTGCTGCTGCTTATGTCAAGGGTGCCCAGAAACAAGGTAATTACAGCTGTTGTGAAAGGGGGTGAGGTTGGGCGATGCCAGGTTTATACACACCCTCCCCATCACACGCCGCTGTATTGTGTTACAGTCAGAACTGTTTTGAACACAGTTGTGCCCTGGGCTGTGCAAAAGCTTCCTGATTCAGAGACATCCGAAGGCATCAACACCTTTGGTTAAGTCCAGAATACTACAAGTGGATGTCCACCCTGCCCTCACCCCGACATCCTCACAAGTGGGATCTGGAGTGTCTCACAACCCTCCAGAGAAGGTTGGGGGCGGGAGGGGGACAAATGCAGCTGCAAGGGAGTCGGGATATTCAGTCTGTCAGCAAAGCTGGCTCTGCCAGCGGAATGATGCCGTTAGAGCGACTCACTTTCCTGAAGGAACAAAGCCTCTCTCGCCATTAAGAGAAAGCTGCTCCCACTCTGGGGAAATGCCACTGCCTGGTGTTTGGATCTAGGTATCAGAAGGTTAGGAAAAGAAGGTCATGAGCCCTGAATAGTGGGGGGGGGGGCAAGGTAACAGAGAGCAGGTGTGCCCTTCTTTTCCACTTGGGCCATTCTGGGATACCTGGACCTCCCCCCGCACCAGAAGGACAAGAAGGTGTTCCTCCTGCCCTTATTTACCGATAGGTGAGGCTGAGTCCCAGGTAGGAAGCTGAGAAGACCAGGAACTCCTTGTACAGCAGCTTGTAGATACTTCCACGCCAGAGGCTCAACAGCTTGTAGAAGCCACCAAAGCGGGCATTAGCCACTCGGGCTGTGTACGTGACCGTCATGGCCCGATGGAGGTGGCTCGGTGGTCTGCAGTGCAGGGAGAAGCAAAATTAGGTCTCCAGAATGGTGAGCATCTCACAACAGGCCAGCGCAGCCAAGGGCTGCTGGTGGGGTGGAGGATCTCGTCCTCCGTACCATGACATCCCCTGCTTTAGGCTGCTGGGGCCAGATGGACAGCTCCCTCTTCTAGAAAATTTCTATGCCGCCCCATTCGCCGAAGCCTCGGGGCGGCTCACAAACATTTTGGGCCAGTTCAAGCATGCAAGTAAGCACTTGCCTTGAGTATGACATTAAAACATTAAAAGTAATTCATTAACATTTTACACATAAAAAATGCACACAGTTGAAGCTCAATTTTTGTACTGTTTTCTAAAAAGGGGATGATGAACCCCTGACAGTCCCTCCCATATTCTGCTTGGGTATTTTGACGGTGCCGTCACTGGCTGTCAAAGGAGAGATCATCGAAAGCAAGCAGCAAAGGAGAACAAAATAATCGAAATGGAGGGAAGGCCCAGTGAGTAGAAAAGGGCTTGTGATCTTAGTGGGGAGGGAAACCTAGCTGGGTCCTGCTGCAGAGGAGGAAGGAGTGGCCGCCAACCCACAGTAAGCCTGGCCGTTTGTCAGGAGCCGCACGGGTGGCCTAAAGTGCTTTCCGCAGGGGTGGCTTGTTTGTTTCAAACAAGCGGGTTGTTCCAGAAATTGTTGTTGCTACTATGGGCTGTTGTGTCATCTGAACCTGGGCAACCAACCCAACAGTGGGTACCGGCAAGCAGTGAGTGACCCATTCGGTTAGAGTGGCCAAAAAATCTTTGCTACTCTTGCCAAGCTCTCCCAGGCCACCCTGCCCCCCATTTGAGGTGACTGTCATTGGCTTGTGCCCCACGAGGCTTGTAAGTTGCTTTTCACTTGCCACAGCTTTTCCCCCTTTATGGCAGAAAAGAATGCACTGAAGGGACTGTCACTGGTTGGCCACTTTTTTGTTATTTTTAGCTCCAATTGTGCACACATTTTTAAAATCTGTATTTGAATTTGTTTTTGCCAAATTTGCGCAGCTGCTCCGGTACACAGTTCCAAAAATGAGAAGTCTTAACTGTGCAGTATTCCCAGTGCCTGCTGCCAAAGTACAGCAGGTACCAACCCTGGCCATTGACCCAGAAAAGCTGCAAGGAGGTCAGCTAAGCTTTGGCTTTACTTTTCCCAACAGCAGTCAAAGGAGAGCGTGACTCCAAGTGACTTTGGCTCATGAAAAGGGGTGGCTCGTAAAAGGGGTGGCCCTTTGTGGTAAGAGTCTGTATCCCTGGAGCTGACTCTTCTCAGTGTTCTGCGTCTTTTTCATGATTCCCTGTAACTCTAGGTGCTCAGAAGGTGTGGGTTACCCTCTTTTACAGCAGCATCCTTTTAAAACCTTTTTTTTGACAGCGTTAATACAAGTCGTCGTTTTTTTCACAGGGATCTATGTGGGTCTCTCATTCCCAAGAAAAAGTGGTACAAGTGGAAGAGTCTAACAGTGTCGGAAGTGTTTAACAATGTTATCACGAGTGCAAAATCAGATGTGACCAAAGAACAAGGAACCAAATATACATACACACAACTCCCTTGGCTCTTTATACAGAGGATTTATATGATACGAGGTTCAGCTAGGGATCAGTATTACTCTAACAGCAACTCAAAATAATATGATGGCATGGTGTGTGCAAAGCACAGTTTCCAGTACTTTGCTTGCAAAAATCGATGGCTGAGAGCAGGAAGCAACGCAGCCACACACGTGGCAGAAAATGATGTGGCGCTTCGCGCAGCAGTACAACTATCCCTTGTTTGGAATATAACGACTTTGCCAATCCCTCAGCCCTTCCTTTCAGGCAAGCGGGATCAAGCTGGGGGCTGATCAGTGGTGGATCAGTGCACAGAATCCTTTGCCCAGATCCCAACATCTTGACCGGCTCGCACCAACAGCAGCCCGGCAGCCACTGCAGCAGTGATCAGTTTTGAAGGACAGAGACTCCTCACGGCATTCCCCATAGCCCTGCTCCCAATGAGAGATGCACACAATGGAGCTGATTCATATCAACGAACCAGTTCTAGCAGGTTTTTTTTTAATTTCATCCTCTTTGTAAAGCAAAGCGTCTCAATTGTCCATTCAAGACAAGCCACCCCAGAGTGCTTTGGATTACAATAGGAACAATATATTGCAGTTGGGAAAATTGTGTCCCCACCCTCCCTCCTGTGAGATTGCAGCTAAGCTCAGAGGGAACAGGGAATCCTGAGGAGCGTGGTAGATAATGTCAGTTTTCCTGTTAATTAAAAAATGCCGGTGCTGTGTCTCTGTGAACCCAGCTCCTCTACATCTGATGAAATAATATGCACTAGTCTACAGACTATTATCTTCTGTGAATCCTTTGGGTCATAAGAGAACCAAAAGCTGTACTGACCATAAGAAATATTTCCTAATCCATACAGTATAATTGATTGTTTTATTAGGCCCAGGGAAACATTGCAGAAACAGGCAAGCTTTTGAGATTTTTGGGTCATTTTATCACTCTAGGCTGCTTGGGTTTCGACTCATTCTGAACGGTAATGGAAACTTGAGAGGCTGGTATGCTAGCGGCATGGCCCTTTTGCTTCTACTAGTCCAGAGCCGATCCTCTTTTTGCACAACAGTCCACCCAGCTGTTAAGGCTTTTCCAGAGGTCCCTTCAAGAAGGTCTGACAGGTCCCGCTCCAGGGAGGAGGGGATGACTTGATCACTCCCTACCTGTCTGGCAGGTGGGGGCCAGGCATGGCCTTTGGTTAACACTTTGCAAATCTGGGACATTCCACGGAAAGATTCTTTTCTCCTGATTGTTTTTCCAAGGGTAATTGAGACACCAGATCCCCCACAGGCAGGTCTGCAATCAAAGCCTCTTGGCTTGACAATGGTAGGGCAGGCCTTTGAAGGAGGCCCTCTTCCCAGGCTGTCTGAAGGAGCTCACTCTTTCATTAATGAGTAATGTGAGGGGGGGGGCACCTTTCCCTCCACCCAAGATCTAAAGCTGGCTGCTGAATGAGCCAACCACTCACTCAACAAATCCCCAAAGATCCTGTTTGTCTTTCCTTTCAAAGCAAGAAACAGAAGCAAAAAGGAGAGGGGGAAGGAAACATACCTATGTGTGGGTGGAAAGCATCTTCGAGCCAAAACATGGTTTTTAGATTAGATGATTTTTTAACTACTTGGAACCTGAGTGGAGTTGATAGCATCCTGACCAGCAGGTTTGCTCAGCAAGTAATTGTGCTAGAACCCCAGAAAATGAACTTTCTCGGGGTCAGAGATTCCAGGCAAACTTAGAGACTGGGATCAAACTGAAATCAACCTGTCCACTGTGGGTAAGAGGAAGCATCCTAGGATAGGAACTCTGGAAGGACGGGCAATTCAGATGCTCAAAAAGACAGTGATTACATGTGCAATAATTTAAAAGAAATCCACAAGTACAGGATCTTGTTAAGGATCTACAGGCATTCCTGACTCTCCAAAACAAGGAGTAGAGAACCTCATCCCTCATCTTTAAAAAATAAAAGGAAGAAAAGTGAGAAAAAAATTGGAAACATTTTCTAGTTTCAATCCTATTCAGGGTTTAGCTAAAAATAGTTCACTACTGATATTATAGTTCTTACATTGCATACATACAAGCACCAAAAAGATTCCAGCTTAAGATTGTATCCAATGGCTGCAGAGCAGATATCTCAATACACTAAAAATGTCCTTCATTTATTCTGGAGATTTATGCCCCCACTTTCTGTCTCAAAAGAAAAAAGAAAAAGCACCCTTGTCACACCTTGAAAACCAGCCAGTCGATTATGGATAAGCTTTATTGTGTTTTCTGTAACAGACCTGACCCAGTTTCACCTCCGAGAACTGTCTCAGGAGAGACAGTAACAGCACCTTACACCAATCCAATACAGTAATTCTGATTATGCATGCCTATGGTGCACAAAACTGAGTAAATAAAGAAAAAAGATTAAATATACAATCGTGTTAGTCCTGTACAGGAACGGACCATGAAGATTCGTGCACACTTCCAGCCGCTCATCCCTGGTTTCTAGTATGGGCAATTTTAAAAGTCTGTTTTCATTCCAGTAGCTTTACAGCCCTTAATGAGGTGGTGCCTGTCCCGTTCTTCAGATGAAAATTAGCATTGTATTTTTGCACATCTCACAGGTCACTATAATTTTTCTGAATTGTGAACCAAGGCTGAAAGACCACTCAGGACTATCCAGTAAGACCAGTGATAAGCTGAGCTCTCGATCCAAAATTCTGCTCAGTGGTCTGTAGCAATACTAATGTCTACAATTCCAGGACATTCACAAGGAAAAAAAAATCCCTGGTTTTGAAGCTTCGATCACATACTGCCAAAGGATGAGCAGGTAAATATTTGCATCCCTCTGTATGCCTGCATGCAGACAAACTGCACCTTACATGTACTGCCAATCTCTGGAAAGGAGGATTTCTACTTCTTTCAACAGAATACAGAAGGAATTAAAGAAGCCATAATTTTGCAGTGATGTGCATAGGTACCAAGCCTCCACCAGCAGAATGGAAACGGATCGAACCAAGACACACAACAAGCCCTAAAGCAACAAATTTCGCACTAACCTGTGCAAGAGGTTATCAGTTGTGCTAACTTCACATTCAGTTCAGGACAACTGCAACAGCACCGGCAGAGAGGTCCAAAGAACACATACCTCCTCGAAAATTATTCCCAAATCCAAACTCCACCTGGGAAGCAACTTTTAAAGATAAGATCCAAAAAAAAAAAAAAAAGGGGGCAGAAAGAAAGCTGCTCAGACAGCCCTTACAGGTTTTGACATACCGATGAGCCTAGCCCAGAGCATCCTGTGCTGACCTTTTACACTTCTCACAGAGGTAAAGCTTTCTGGCTGCTTGGATCACAACCTGCGGGGAGGGGCTGGGCTGGGCAGAGGAGCCTACAAAGATCCAAGCAGCAGCGCTGAGGATGCACTGCGATTT